AAAGTAAATAGCAACCAGTGGCAAAAAAAAAAAAAAAAAAAGATCTTACGGGGCTTAACGGCCAGGACCTAATAGGAACAACTTCCCGGGGGTGTGTGCCTGGCAGCGATGGTTTAGGAAGCATCATTTGATCCAGAATTCGCCTGCTTTTGGGTAGGAGCAAGAACAGCCCCGGAGCATCTCATCCCCGGTGCATCCCTGTTCCCAAGGGCCTGTGAAGGGGTAGCTGCCTGCCATATGAGAAGGTCACACTTATCAGTGTCTCAGCTGCACACACTCATGATTCTGACAATCAGGAAAAGCACAGAAAGTTAGGGTCACTGTGCTTTCAGCATCTTACATGGAGGAGACGCATCCCGTGCATGTGTGTGTGCGTGCGTGTGTGTGTGTGTGTGTGTGTGTGTAGCACCGAGGACTTAACCCAGGCCTCATGCATACCAGGCAAATGCTGTATGCCTGAGCTACACCCCAACCTGAGCTGGATCCCAAGGAAGAAGTAAACACCCACCTGGGCGGGTTTCTGCCACAACAGGGCCAGCGAGGTCAGACGGCTTCCCGACGCCCGCCTGGTTGATGGCTCGGACCCGGAACACGTAGCTGATGCCCTCCTGGAGGCCTTGCACCTGGAAGAAGCAGGTGCAGAAGCAGTGGGTGTCCTGGGTCACTTATGCAGAGGCACCTGTGCTGTGTCGTAACAGCGGCCACAGCACTGGGGCAAAGGGCTGTGTCTCACAGCTGATTCTAAGCGGCCTCAGGCTACCTTCCCTCTGACCAGTAGGTGAGGCGTTCCTAAGATCTCATCCAGCTCAGCGGTCCTACTTCTTTTAGATCATCTGATGGCCTCCGTCATCAGAAACAGACCATACACCTAGGCTGCGGATGAGTTAGTCGCTCACTCTTTGGTCAAAATGCAAAGTGCTCACAAGAGCACACAGGCTGCTTCCCTAGCACAAGTTGCCACCCCACACTTCTGAGACATCCCAAGAATAATTTCAGGTGAAATTCTTAGCAAGAGAGAATGAAAAGCCTGGATCACAGACACTTTGTATTTGTTGAAATGCATGTTCAAGCACTAGAATAAAAACGAAAATCCTCCCTGTCATTTTAATGTTAATACTTCTCACTGGATAACAGTTAACAACATTGTGAATTTAAGTGATTTGTAAATAATCAAAGTCTTGAAATTCTAAGCCTTTAAGTTTTTAAGAATTAAGAATAGTTTTGCTGAGAACATATTTCATAATCTTTTGTGGATTTCTTTGGATTCAGCACTGCTTTTATAATCTAACTGTTGTGTGTCAGTCCTACTTCATACCATTTTATGATTTTGTGTTCCTCATTGTCCCATTGCTATGATTCCAAGTATTACTAAGCTGCTAATATTTTATCAAAACTATCTTTTAATTTTTAGAACATGTGACTTTTAATAAATATTTTAAGAAGGAACCTATTACACACAGATATTTTTTCCCAATAATTTTTCCCCAATTCTGTGGTGAAGATCAATATCCAAAGCTGAATTCAAATCATTTGTTCAACTAAGTGAAGCATTTGTGACCATGCCTTTAAACAAGCTGTGCATAAAGCCGTTAGGTTTTTAATCCATTTATCTATATTTGCATGGTGTTAGTGATGACAGAATGTCACTATGTAGCAATAGTCTTTGCTGGAGCTGAGGAGTTTTTGAGATGAACTTCAGTCTGTAAATGAACTTGAACTTAGGCACAAAGACATGCACGGAATTTGGTGCACTTAAAGTTCTACATTAAGAAATAATGTCAGGAGGGGCCGGGGATTTAGCTCAGTGGCACAGTGCCTGCCTGGCAAGCGCGAGGTCGTGAGTTCAATTCCTGGTACCGGAAAAAAAAAAACCAAAAAAAAGAAATAATGTCAGGAATCTGCTGGCTTGCAGAAAGGAGGAGCCATTTCTTTGCTGTGATGAAGATACACAGACTGATGGCCAGGTGCCTGACACGCCTGCACCTGCCTGCAGGTGAAGGGGCCTGGGGCAGGTTTCTGCAACACTGGGGGTGGGGGACGAAGGACAGCCACGTCCCGGGTTGTGTCACTGTGTGGCCGGGACTCCGCTCCACGAGCCCATCAGCAGGGACAGGGACCAGGACGCCAGCAGCACCAAAGATACAGTGTACATGCGTCACTCTCCTCCTTGGATTCCCCTGCCCTGTAACTTCAGCATTCCCTCCCCTCCTCCCCCCTGCTCCTCACCCCTTCCAACTACTCCCCTCCCGCCCCCGTGGCCACCAGGCCGTGAGGACCAATGGAGAGGAGCTATGGTTACACTGCCTTAGTGGGATGGCAGTGCGCTCTTTCTGAATGACTGCGGAGAGACTAGCAATATGGCCGCACTCCCTGAGGCTCCCAGGTCCTGCTGGGGACTCGGGGGCCTTCAGGTGCTCCACCAACAATGGACTTTCACGTGGCACCGGTGGGAGTCAGCGGCTCCAGCCTGCAGCCTCTGGCCCGCACAGTGAGGCGCTGGCTCAGGTGGTCCCTGCCAGGGAGCCCTGGCGAGGGTGAGGTCGTCAGAGCCCAGGGAAACCAGGCAGGTCAGGGAGCTCCCAGGAGCCCACAGTGACAGCGGGGTGTGTGAATGCCATACTCACAGTGCCCTTGAGCAAAAGCCACCCCGAAAGCACTCAAAGCACTCAAGGCCGGAGGAAAAGGCCGCTATGGAGGTGGGAGAAAGCAGCAACCCTCTGAGCCCTGGGTAGCATGAACGGAGGGGAAGCGAGAGCAAGGAGGAAAGGGAGAGGGAGGAGGCGCGGGTGGGGTTTTTCAGAGCTGGGCTGAGGAGCTCAGGTTAAATGTCACCATGCTACTGCAGCATCAGGAGAGGCCCTGCCACCGCCACCGCTGCCCGGGGTCACAGCAGGAGCCCAGTGTGTGAAGCAGGCCCAAGCAGAGGCACCGCTTCTATCTGGCCAACTGTTTTGAGACAGGATCTTGCTATGTAGTCAGGCTGGCCTTGAACTCACTATGTAGCCCAGGCTGACCTTGAACTTGCGGCAATCCTCCTGCCTCAGCCTCCAGAGCACTGGGATTATAGATGTGCAGCCACCATGCCCAACCTAGCTTGCCAACTTTAAAGTCAGGATCAGTATGCCTTCCTTTTTAGAGCCAGGAAGCACGCTGAGGCCCCGAGCGCCCCCTACCTTCAGGTACTTCTGCTTGATGGCAGCCTCGTTGAGTCCTCGCCACTGGTCATCCTTGGCATTGGCCTCCTTCAGGTCCACAAAGTAGCCAGTGACCGGAGTCCGCCCACAGTGGACCGGGGGATTCCACTGCAGAACCAGGGAGTTTTTCCGGACCTCGCTGTACCTGAGGCTGTGAGGTGGTCCTGATAGGGCCATCGGGGGAGGGAGAGGGAGAGGACAGTGAGCAGAAGGCGAGGCTCAGCTACGCGGACACTTACAAGCACAGGAGGTCTTAGCGGGCCTGCAGGCTGGTGTGAAAACGGGCATGTGCGTTCCCACAACTGTGCTACATCAGCTTCCTGAGTCCTGTCATGGTGGGCAGGTGGGGGCGGGCTTTCAGGGCACCCCCGGGCCGGCTTGCAGCTTCCCTGGCTGTGCTCGGGGCTGTGTGGTGATCTTTTACCAGCAAGGTCAGCTGCAGGTTCCGCTTCCCATTATTGCTGAGAGACAACGTGAAACCTCCCCTCTGTCTCAGATCTCGGGAGAAAGCAACTCCCTTGGAACTGCATCTGAGCATGGAGGGTAGCAGCTCTTTCAGAGGAGACAGGGATGGCGCCCTCTGCAGCATACACCCCACCAAGGGGTAAAAGGAAAAAGTGACAGCTTAGGGTTTGCAAACACTTTTCACCAAATTAAACCCAATCCATGGGTCCCATGGGCTCGAACCTATGCTAAATAACACCTGGCACTTCACGTTCAGTGATCTCATTTGTTCTTAAGAAACTAAGAGCAAGCTCACAGCAGATGAGTAGCACCCCTGAGGGACAAAGCCAGGACCACGCATGCTCTGTCCTCAGGCGCGCCCGGACTCCTGTGATTGCCATTATCTCTGTGTGACTGTGTGCCCGTCAGCTGCTCCTCAGGTGATACGCTTGTTTTCTTTCTCCTTCCTTCCTCCTCCTCTGCCATGTCCTCTTCCTCTTCTTCTACGCCTGATTTCGAACCGACCAATCAAAACCCCCTGGAGTGACTCAGGGTGGCCTGACAGCAGCTCGAAACAGACTGAATCACGCTGGGCTGTGGCATTTTGCAATCCGAAGTTCAGTGTTTGTTAGCTCATTCACCTTGGCTTAGTTTCAAATATGCATCACCTTTGTCTTCCGACGTCTTACATGGAAGTGTATTTAAATAGTAACAGGAAATCTCTTACACCGGTGAGGCTTGTTCTGCCTGGCTAAGGGCTTTTACAGCGTAATCCTGCATCAGGTAGAAGCAGCACTGCCCCTTGCTCCACAGGGAGGACTCAGGCCTGCCGGGGCCGAGCACCTCCCTTGTTTCCAGGCCTACCCGTGCCCCTTCTGGGCACCGGGCACTGTGTGACCTGCAGCTCGGCTTGTCTGCATACAATGAAAGGAGGGGCGGCCCCTGCTGCTCTGCCTTAGGAGAGTGCCTTGCTGCGCAGCTCAGCGAGGCCAGGACTGGTCTGAGGCACAGCTCTTGGCAGCCGGCTCTGCTCCCTGCGCTCACTGCCACTTTCCGCAAGCCAGGGACATCGCTTTCTATAGAAACCCTTTCCACAGCCTGGGCCGGGTCTCCTTGTCTGGTCACTCACAGGTCGCTTTATCCAGGAATGCCAGGAATTTGAAAACAAAGCGATCTGTGTGCAGGCGGCAGAGAGGACTCTTCCGGGGCGCCGGGAAGGGGAGTGTGCTGGCCTCCTCGGGTCCCTGGGTGGGGTGAGCCCTGACCTCTGTCTTGGTCCTAGGAGCTCAGCAGACAGGTGGCCCAGATGGCTGCTTCCTGGGTGAGGGCAGCGCGGCTCATCGCGGGCCCAGGCCTTCACGGAGGATGGGTGGCACCAGGGCAGGACTGTGTCTGCCCGCCCAGGAGCTAAGGTGCCTATGGCAGCGCTGCACCTGTTCCATAGGGCGACTGTCAAACGCAGGCAGACAACCGAGTCTCGCGTGACACTCAGACTATTTGGGTCTGTAAAGTCAGGGCCGTTGGAGACAAAATAAGGCCATTCGGCAAACACAGGAACGCTGCTGGTTTGAATCTTTTTTTTTTTTTTTTTGCATAGCCAGGAGTCTTTACTAGGATGGGGGGGCCAGGCCCAGGGCAAGTAGAATCACCTACCACTAAATAGTTTGAATCTTAAGTGGCTTAGTAAATTTGTTCCCACTGAACTTTTACATTTGTTTTATAGCTCTGTAACAAGGTTAAGCCTAGGTAAGTTTTTCTGCCTACTTCCTATTTTATTTCTTGCCCACCCAACCATTTTCCGTGACTAACTCCGAAGCTGCCAGAATTTTCCTTGTGGAGCAGGGTTTAGGAAATATGGAGGGAAAGGGGGAGGGGAGGGGCGCAGAGGAGTTAAGGGGTTAGGAGAACGGTAAGGTCAGAGAGACAGAGAGACACAGAGACAGAGCGCCAGGGGAGAGAAACCAGACTTGGGCCCAGCCGGGCGTGTTCTGTCCATCTGCGTAACATAACCAAGGCTGGGAAGAGGGAGGGAAGCCCGCAGGCTGGCTTTGGAGGAGGGGGCTTGGGGTTGACAGATCAGAGGCTGCGCAGCAGGGGGAGAATGAGCTGAGGAATGCAGGATGCCGCTGCCGTGGAATGTGAACTGGATGTCTTTAAGAGCCCTTAAAAAGCAAAGAGTAGATTCCTTTCAAATGCTCCCTTCACTCTCGAACTGTGTGCTTCTGTCTACCCCACCCGGGCGGAGCCTGAGCTGCAAGGCGCTGGAATTTATTTGGAACGCAACTGTAAGGAATTCATTCTTAACTTCATATTGCTATCCTCGAGTATGATCATAAAACTATTTCAGGCATGCTAAGGGGCCACGGGAATTCTTTTCCCTAAATGTGGCAGGTGTCGGGCTTCAGTCTGGCTTCGCGGGGCAGCTGCTGTGGGAAGCCCCCAGGACCGCAGGCGGCCGGCTCCCACTCACCGGGCACGGCGATGGTCCACTCCTCACACGTGAAGCACTCGCTCACGGCCGACGGCGGCCCCAGGCCCGCGAGGTTCATGGCCGCCACTTGGAACTGGTACACCACGTTTTCCTTCAAATTGCTGATCTGCAGGCAGTGAATGTTATAGGTTCGTGTTTTCCAGTCATTAACACTCGATGACTTTACCTCTTCACCGGACACACCCTTTCATAAGGGCTTCCCCCAGACCTTCCCCGGGCGCAGGTGAACCCACCACCCCCTTGCAGCGTGAGGCTATGGCACAGGTATGGGAGTATCGGCCCTGTGATTGAGCTACTCCATATGGCAAAGGAGAGGGATGTTATAGCCGTAACGAAGCCCTCACTCGGTTGGCTTGGGGTTCATCGAAAGGAAATTATCCCGGATGAACCTGACTTTCTCAGGTAAGGGCTCTTGAAACGCAGCTCGGGCCCTTCCTGGAGAGGATTGGGGTCCTGGGACTTGGAGAAACGAGGCCGTGTTGCAAACGGCCTCGACACTCGCAGGTGGGGAAGGGTGACTGCTCCGAGGTGAAGGTCTTAGCCCTCCAGAGGCAACGAACTGAACTCTGCCAAGGAGCTCAAGGTGCTCAGAAGAACTCAACTTTGGAGGAGGACGCAGCCGCGCTGACACCCAGACTGTGTCCTGGCTGTGCCACTGGCTGTGCCAGACCCTGACTGACGGGCCCTGCGACAGGACGACTGGGTCCCTGAGTCACCGAGTTCACGTTAACTTGTTATACATCGATGGAAAACTACTGCACGCGCACAGGAAAAAGGAGCTCTAAGCTAAAATTAAAATATTAAAATTCTGGTACTGCTCCTGCTCTGTACTGTTATCTAATATTTTCCATATTCCTTAGAAGGAGCTGGGTTGTTGTGAAGATAAATACACATGGTAAAATAATGAATGTGAACACACCTGCAAGGTGGAAGTGATGGAATACATTACACTGCACTGTGAAAAGTCTGTCGTGACAGTAAACTATAGGGTATGTAAACTAGGACCGGCAAGAAAACAGACGTGCAACAAGCAAAGAAGATAATGGATGCACTTGACAGAACAATCAGATGCAGAAGAAGAGAGAATCTGTAAACTGATAGAAAGCCAAAAGAATTGTACAGTCCACCACGCAGAGAGACAGAGAGACGGGAACTAGAAGGCGATTAACAGACACTGCAGATAGAACGCGTCAAGCATCTATCTAATTAGAGTTTCAGAAGCAGGGAGACAGAATGGGGGAGTAACTATCGTAAGACAGAAAGATTTTCCAATCATCCTGAAAAATTTGAAATTGAAGAATTATTCTCCCTCAAATTAAAGGCAGATACAATTTTTAAAAACCTGACACGCAGACAGATAACATCTTAACCGGAGCACACCAAAGGTAACGTGAAAATATTAAAAGCTATCTAAGAAAAGAGACAAGTTTCTCTCAGACGAACGAACAGTCTGAGCTGACGCCCCGCGGCTGCAACGGGCCAGAAGGTGAGGGAATTGTGTATCTGAAGTGTCAAAAGGGAACAGTTACTGCTGTGGAATTGTTTTACCCAGAAGAAATATTTTTGGAGGATGAAGAAAAGGTAATGATATCTTCAGACAAACAAAAATGAAGGCAGTTTGGGTTACAGGAAATAATCTCAGGTAGAAGGTCAAAGATGAAGAATGAACACCAAATAAATTGCTAAGTATATAGGTAAATCTGAATGAATATTGTCACTGTAAAGCAATAACCACAATACTGTCTGCATAAAAAAAAAGAACCCAAGGCACACATACGCATGCAATAGCATGCAACCTGGAAAGCAAGAAAGTGGGTCACTCTGAGGCTTTTATGTTCCTGAGACAAGGGTAAAACAGACGGAATAACATATGTTCCAGGTCTCCTCAGGCACCCAAACCAAACAAACCAAGAATCGTAAAATCTATAGCTTTTATGATACTATAGGGGGGAAACAGAATGATTTTTAAAAACTACTGAGAAATAATCAAGAAAGGACAGAAAATAAACGTATAAGGGGAAGAACAAACAGAAAGTACAAAATACAGCGAGTGTAGCGGTGCACGCCTGTGATCCCAGCCACTGGCAAGCGAAAGGCAGGATTGCAAGTTCAAGGCCAGCCTGGGCAACTCAGCGAGACCCTGTGTTAAGATAAAACATTTTAAAAGGATGGGGACGTAGTTCAGTACAAAGATTGTGGGTTCAATCCCCAGTACCACAAAAAAGTACAAAATAAGGTGACTTTAAAAAATCCATAGAACATTAAATGTGCCCAAGTGACAAAAACTGTCAAACTGGGAAAAGAAATGTAACTCTATGCGATTTTAAAGAGACATTTAAAATGCATGAAGTTATAGAAAGATTGAAAGAGATGAAAAATTACATTCCATGCAAACATCAACCAAAAGAAACCAGTACATCTACATCAGTAATAGAAAATAAAGATTAAGGTGAAATGTACTATCAGCAAGTCACTTTGTATCTATCAAATAAAATCACTTCAAAATACAAAGGGCAACTCTGTGTGCGTGTGTGTGTGTGTGTGTGTGTGTGTGTGTGTGTGTGGTACTGGGGACTGAGACCAGGACCTCTGCACTGAGATACAGCCCCTTTATTTTACTTTAATTTTATTTTACTGAGACAGTCTCTCTAAATCACTAAGTTGCCCAGGCTGGGCTTGACACTATCTTCCTGCCTCAGCCTCCCACAGTGCTGAGATTACAGGCATGAGCCATTTTGCCCATCTGAGGCAACATTTTAAGTGAGAGAATTTTGTGATATGTCAGTTGTGTCTCAAGAAAGTGAGATTATCCCACAATTTTCCCTTCCTATATTATCCTTGTCAGATATTAGTATCAAATTAATTCTGGCCTCAGAGGGGTTGGGGATATAGCTCAGTGGCATAAGCGCCTGCCTGGCAAGTGCAAGGTCGTGAGTTCGATCCCCGGTACCACAAAATAATTTCACTTGTAAATACGGAAGCAAAAACCTGAATAATAATTAGCAGTAAAACCCAGGTATGTATCAAAATAATATTCTAGGATGTATATATTCTGTGCAATGTCTAACTTGGGTATACACCAGGAATGCAAGTTTGTTTCACGGTTAGGTAATTGATAGAATATACCACATTAAAATTAAAGGGAAAAATAATATAATCACTTAATAGACTCAGGAAAAATTTTTAAAATAATTTAAATTCACGCCTGATAAATTGAGCATAGGGCCGGGCGTGGTGGCGCACGTCTGTAATCCCTGCACTCGGGAGGCTGAGGCAGGTGAATCATTGCGAGTCTGAGACCAGCCTGGGCTACAAAGTGAGTTCAAGGCCAGCCTGAAGTGCATAGTGAGACCCTGTCTCAAAAAGACAAAAAAACCCCCAAAAACCAAAAAAACAACAACAAAGGAAACTTCCTTTAATAGGTAATACACCTATAGCAAACATAATACTTAAAGGTGAAATGTTAGAGATTTTTCTTTATGATAATGGTCAAGTCTACAATGACCAACTTCATCATTTCAATTCAGCATTGTACTAAAGGTTTGAGGTGGAAAACAAGGTAAGAAAATGAAGTAAAAGGATAGAAAATTTGGAAATGAAGATGTAAACTGTCCTTATTTGCACATGATATGACTATATATATAGAAAATCCAGAAGAATTTGTAAGTAATTTCTTAAAGTTATAAGAAAAAATTAGCAAAAAAATATATAGCAATTACAAGCAAAATCAATATGTAAAACTAGTTATATTTTCCTATACTAGCAACAGAAAACTGATGTAAAATATACTATTTACTATACTCAAAATGTATAGTATTTCTATAAATAAATAACAGATGTACAAACCTCTGTAGAGAATAAGAAAACCTCCATGAGAGATTTTAAGGATCAAAATAAATGGAGAGAAATACTCATGTTCGTGGATTACAAGGTTATTCATTTATTTTCTGAGGCAGGTCTTGCTATGTTGTTCAGGCTGGCATTGAACTCACTATCTAGCCCAGGCTGGCCTTGAACTTATGGTGAGCCTCCTGCCTCTGTATCCTGAGTGCTGGGATTATAGATGTGTACTACTTTCGCTGCTAAAATTAACTTTAAAGCTGTGTTCCTTGTTCGTAAGTGGTTCAAATGAAAGTTTTCAGAAGAAAATTGTATTGTTTTCATTGTATCTTACAGTGAGTAAGCCGCTAGATACAGAGGAAAAACTCTTCGGCAGGCAAGTTGTAAAGGAGGATAACAAAGTGGCAATCTGTGTAGGAAAGATGTTCAAACTCATCTGACACCTAGACTGTCAAATCCAAGAATGTGTGACTACACCAAGCGTTGGCAAAGACAGCAGAACAACGGGCAATCTGCTAATCTTTCTACTTTAAGGCAGATCAGTAAAATGGAAGGTAAGCAGAGCCTCTGACCCAGGAAGTTTCTTTTGGTAATAATGTGGAGCAACTGGAGCACAGCTGTGCCTGCAGCTGTGTACAGAAGGGCCCGGAGCTACAGTCTTTGGTATAAAAATGCCCACTCGTCCATCGAGAGTGCGGTGAAGAATATACTGAGATACAATCATGTGTGAGAATATGACGTGATGAAGGAGAAGAATGAACCGATGTGGAAGAGTTTTATGGACACAGTTTTCTGTGACGAACTCCCAGTTTGTGATATTTCATACATTTCAGCTGTTAACTTAAAAGACTGTGGCACTGAATTCCGGCGAACACTATTCCCTGGCCCTGTCTGGCCTGGAACTCTCCTGGGGCGGGGTTTTGTGATAGGAGATGACAACTGAGACCTGGCTAACGCTGCTCTAAAGAGGGAAGCCAGCTATGCCCATAACGAGGCCTGAGGGCCCCGAGGCGGGCGGAGCAGACACTTGTGGAACAGCGCTTCGTGGCCGTCAGAGCCGCGCCAGGCTGAACGTGTTCCAGGCAGAAGCCTGCATCCCTTCGCCCGGTGTCATGCGGACACTGACTGTTAAGATCTAGACTCGGGGAGCCAGGGATGTGTGGATTATAGACATTTTGTAAGAAATGTTACTTTTCTAAATAAGTGTGTGTTACCAGGCATGGTGGCACACGCCTGTAATCCCAGCACTCCGGGAGGCTGAGGCAGGAGGATCGTTGTGAGTTCGAGACCAGCCTACGCTACAAAGTGAGCTCAAGGCCAGCCTGAACTGCATAGTGAGACCCTGTCTCAAAAAAGACAAATAAATAAATAAATAAATAAATAAATGTGTGTTTTGCAGTACATATCCTAAGACACTATGCTTATGTGTATGAATCAGAAAATATAAATCCTGCCTGGCAAGTCAAACTACTTGCATTTACCAATGTGCACTTTTCACCAGAGTCACACCAACGCAGACAAGGGACATTAGGGGAGGGGCGTGAAGGCCGCGCGTGCCACACACTCACTGTGTGCCGCGCACTGATTTGCAGGGCCGCCCACCCCGGAGCACCCCGCTAACCTTGTACACCTCCTCACTGATCGCCTTGGCGTTGGCTTCTCTCCAGGGCCCCGGCGTCCCGCCGGTCACCTCCCGGTAGCTCACATAATAGCCAGTGATGTCCGTCCCTCCGCTCTTATCCGGCTGCTTCCATCCGAGTACCATCGAGTCACGGAAGCTTTCCAGACAGGTGATGTCGTAGGGTGGGGATGGCGCCGCTAATGCAATACACATGGACGGTGAGCGTGGAGAAACGCATTTGAGTCTACATACAGTCACCCTGATTAATTGCTACCAGGCATGGGGGCGCTGGACCTCACGGCAGGAAATGAAAACATGAGATTTACCAGTAACTCTGCATGCCACTTGGTATATGAGGAAAAGGTGAGCACATGGTCAAAATGTGTGCTGTAATCATTATCACAAAGATTAAAAAATAAGAAACCTGCCCCAGCAAAATGGTACAATATCCTGGAAAATGTTTGAGGCTTTTTTTCCCCATACGAAGAAATATTTTCTCAAGGCATCAGTTTTTGTTTCATTATGTGATTTTCTTTTTTAGTTGCTTCCTGAGGAAAATGTAATGTGTATATCAGTTTCAGTCTCTGTTGCTTATTTGGAATTTTCCTGAATTTCCAAATGGTCATTAGTACCTCACCATGAGGCCCACTTACCCTTGTAAGACTTTATACTTATACACGTTCTGTCCATACTCAGGAAAAAGAGCTTATTCCAGGGCTCAGCTAAATGCTACCTTTAAAAAATTTTTAAAAATCAGAGCCAGGCGTGGTGGTGCACACCTGTAATCCCAGCAGACAGGAGGCTGAGGCAGGAGGATCATTGCAAGTTCGAGATCAGCCTAGGCTACAAAGTGCGCTCAAGGCCAGCCTGAACTGCATAGTGAGACCCTGTCTCAAAAAGAAAAAAAAAAAAAAAAAAAATTAAAGCACACTCTCCTATGTGACTTCCTCTTGGTTTATACTACTTTGGTCGCATTATGTTTAAGTTGATGTTGGATGTCATTCATGTATCACAAAATACTATCCACCTGCCACTGTATTTATTAGTGCTGATCTAGAAAAATACTTGGAAAGGTACTTCAAAAACCCTACATTTATGTGGCTTTGCTGATCAAAGTCTCATTCAACTCCTGAAATTACAGTGTTTGAAAGAAAGGACAGGGTGATGGAAAGAAATCTGTATGCAGTGGTATCAAAAAGAATTTTCTGATTATTTATTTGGATTAGGAAATAAAGAAACGATCTCATTCTTATTCCAAAGGAAACTCAGGATAATAAAATTTTTTAAAAATGCACTTGTTTCTTTCTTCCCCACTCACCAGCCTGCTTCATTCTCTACATTAAAAAAAAAGCCTTTTCCCTCTCTTCCTCCTTCACAGTCTTGCGAATGTGGGATCTCAAGCGAGCATCCGATTTCATCTTGAGTTGAAGTGATAAATGCTCACAATGTATAGAGGCAGTTACAGAAGTGGGGGATAGGGCAGGGGAGGGAGGGGCACAAGGCGTTTACACTTATCAGCAGATTCTCATCATTCCAGTTTTTCTTTTTTTGGTCTTTTTTGAGACAGGGTCTCGCTACGCAGTTCAGGCTGGCCTTGAGCTCACTTTGTAGCCCAAGCTGGTCTTGAACTTGCAGTGATCCTCCTGCTTCAGCCTCCTGAGTACTGGGATTACAGGTGTGCACCACCACGCCCGGCTCATTTCATTTTTACTTGATAAGAAAGACACTCTCTGGACTGCATAAGCCACAACTGTCGAGTAGCTGCTCAGCATTCTCAGGTTACTGAAAATAATCTTCAGTGAATCACTCCGGGAGTGTGGGCTGTGTGTCCCAGAACACAGCTCTGCGTGGTTAGAATACCCTGTTCCGTGTTCATGGTGACCAAAGGGGTAGCGGTTTGGATGAAATGTGAAAGACCGCTTAAGACCTGGGACGAGCAACGCAAGTCAGTGACTCTGACCCTGGCACAGCGGCACCTCTTGGTGCGGTCCTGTCCCTGCTGTACTGAACATGGGGCACTTCAAGGAGCCTTACGCAGGCTCCTGCGACCGTGTCCTTCCTGCCTCACGTCCCTTAGCCAAGCGAGGCCATCGGTATGTCTGTCTGGGGAAGCACAAGGGGCCCTTGAGCCCAATCCCTCTAAACGCTGCGGTGTCGTCCAGCCCAGGGAGTGACGTGTAAAAGCCAAACCCGAGTACAGCTCCTGGGACAGGCACTAGGTGGAAGGATTTGGGCCGGGGAGCTGAACACACGACAGTTCAGAACGGACACTGATGAGGGGAACACAGTGAAGAGCCACGTGATGAGGGTGAAGACAGGGATGGAGACAGACGAAGAGCCGGACTCTTCCGCTTCTCACCTCCTGCGTCCTTCTTCTTTCTCGGGGGCTCAGACTTACTCTGCCCCCGGGGAGCCGCCTTCTGGGGCGCTGGGGTGAGCTCCTCCTGAACTGTTTCACTTACTTTACTTGCTTCTGTGTGTCCCAGGTCGTGAGACACGCTGGGTGGTGAAGGTTTGTTAAGTTTGCTATCAGGCAAAGCATCTTTCGGGCAGCTTTTCGGGGAGGCTCCATGCACAGCCCCCCTGGAGGCTGTTAGTCCACCCGGAGCAGCAGGCAGGTCGGGCCACACATCTGGAGACGCTGCGCCCCCTACAATCGCCAGACAATAACAGAGACGCGTGAGCCGAGGCACACAGTGCTCTTGGGGAGAGAACAGACAGGAAACGCGGGGGCGGACGAGCCGAGGCAGGCCGGGTTTAACGGAATCGCTAACCCAGGGCTTCAAGGAAATGGGGAGCATACGCGTCACATCGTGTACACCAGGGAACATAGCAACTTCTACATGTTTTGGAAAAAGGAGAAATGAGCACAAAAAGCCACAGACAGAACAGGAACTAGTTTCACTCGTAGAACTCAAAAAGTTTTTAGTTCACACAAGAGAAAACGAATCTCAGACATTTCTTGAGCGAAATAAGCTCTATTATTCAACAGAATTGGGAATAGAAACATGAAGTGCACATGAGACAGAACATCAAAGATTCTGGTTTTATATAGCAGAATCACATTCACTGCCGCAAGTCCTGAGCGGTACCTCCCAGCCTCAAGGAAACCCGTCCCCTTTGCCCAGATTATAAGGAAGGCTGGAAAGTGACAGGGGAGCTCGCTGCTCCTTCCCACCCACCTCCTGCCACCTCTCCCTCCTGTCTTTCTTCCTTTCCTTTTCTTTCCTTCCTTCCTCCTACTCTCTCTCCTCCGTTCTTGTGCGGGGGCTCAATCCCAGGGTCTCCCACACACTAAGCATGTGCTCTACCACTGAGCTGTGCACCCAGCCGCCCCTTCCTAACATGTTAGTGTACCACTGATTTAATTTTTGTTGCTCTGAACTACCTGGATCCCTTCCCTACTTGATCCAAGATTGGGAGGCACATCGCGCACATACATACAATTATCTTATGACTGGTTTTATTCTGTCGGTTACTTTGCAAGCAGAGATGAACATGATTAAACAAGCATATGCACCTTGCATGGGTGTTAGAGGGCTGTACAAGAAGCACGTCAGTGTGCTGTTAGTGAAACAAGCCAAGCTGTGCTGCAGATGAACGGCTTGTAGCTACCGATGATCTGTTAAGGTGCGGTACCACGTCACGGAATTGGGATGGCCCGCCACGGTCCCCGGATGAGCACAGGGTTAGGGTGGAGTTTCACATGATGGCAAGTATCTCAGGAGACTTGGAATTGGGAAGCTGAGAGGGTTACAGGTGTATGGAATCTGGATGAGTGAGGGCAGTCTGCAAAATGACAGCTATGGAAGGTTACATGTCACCGAAAGCCAGAGGAAAAGATCGTCTGAGGATGGCATCATGGAGCAGTATAAGAAGCTTCAGACAGTTTTTGGAGCCGATGGCATCTTCCTTTCTCACTCGGAAACATTCACTTTTCCCTTGCCAGGTTGTACGTAAGGAACTTACCAATCGCAGCTTTGACTTCGATAGCTTCTGAGTCCCGCGAATAGTCACTAAGTCCAGCTGCGTTAACTGCCCTGACCCGGAAAATGTAACTCTGACCGGTCGCCAATCCATGACAAGTAAACCTAAAGAGGGAAAAAGTTTCAAAAGTCTTTCCTAGGAGGAAAATTAGGGGAGACGATTGTTAGCTTAGCTGGTTACATGAAACTGATTCATATATCAAAAGGAAGAAGGGGCTGGGAATATAGCTCAGTGGCATAAGTGCCTGCCTGGCAAGCACAAGGTCCTGAGTTTGATTCCCAGTACCAAAAAAAAAAAAAAAAAAGAAAGAAAAGACATAAAGCGATTGAGGTAACATGCATTTTAGACAAGAAGGCAATTAAGCAATTTTTAAAAGTCAGTCTGTCAAAAAATGAGGAGTCCTAGTTTCGCCCTGATGCTCATCAGGATGATAAAGGTAAGAATACTCACATAATAATTTTCATGTAAAGACTGCACGAAGTACATAAAATAGCATCACGGGGTCTGGGACAGGCAAGGCCTCTAATAAATAAGAGGTGACATTAATACTGTTCTTACTGGCTACTTCAGGTGTACGCGCCTGACCACGAGGCCCTGCTGTCCCTCCCAGCTCCCCAATCACTACCTCCCTGAGCGCTGGGGAAGCTGTAGACACTTGAGAAGTCACACTGGAATCTGAAAACAATGTGAAAACTGCTTCCTGGGACGGCCAGCTTAACTTAAGGTTCCAGCAGGAGGTGGGAGTCCGGGGCAACGTCACACGTACACCAAGCTCCCCTCGAATAGCTCTGTGGCTGTAAAGAGCCACGTCATGAGTCACTGTAACATTCAAAGCCACCCTCAGGACAGTCACCGAGGAAATGCAGGTCTGCTAATGACTCTATTCCTACCAGCTCGCTTAGGTATTTAGTAAGGGAAGCCATAATCTAGGCCAATCTTTCCATCCTCAGGGTTGGCCCGGTTCAGAGAGTATTTATCGAGCACTTCGATGTTCAAGACACTGAGCAAGTATTGTGAATAAGTGAATAATTATTTAGATATAATTAGATATAATAATATTTAGATATTATAATATTAGATAATAAAATATTATATTTAGATATATAATATTTAGATAATATAATATTATTTCGATATAATAATAATAGTAATTATCAGATGAATAAATCTGGTGCCTGAGCTCTTGCAGCTCCTGTCTGTGGAAAGCCAGACCCGGGTACTCACAGGGACGCTTCTAAATAGCACGGGGAACAAACAGAAGGACTCAGAGTAGAGAGGAAAGGCACAAAGAGACTTCTTGTTGTAAGAAAGGAATCTCTTATAACATACTGTCTTCTCTCATGAGTCGGTTGTTCTCTGTCCTCTCGTGTTCTGCAAAAGAACTCACTCATCCTAAGGGGGTCCTCAGGCCTAGAAGAGGCCTAACAAGCCTGTCTGACGGTTTCCGGGGCAGCCCTTTCAGACGGGTCCTCTCAAAGGAGGCGCTCCATCCAGTACGGAACTCACCACCAGTTTGCAAGCCCAGTTGAGACAACAGTTAAAAGCAAGAAACATCCCCCTCCCCCCGTTTTGTTGAAAACAGATACAATGAAGTGGCAAAGTACCTGGGAAGTCTTCGTTTTAGTGTTATTTTACGTCTGCTTAGCATTAGGCTTTATCATGCTGATGTTCAGAATTTATAAAACGTTGATACTTTGTTTTTTGTCCGTTTCAAATGCCTGGGCATTTGTTAGGTAACGCTTATTAGACCCTTCAAATCGAGCACCACACTGCATGGTGAAGACCAGAACAGAGGGGGAAGAAAGGAAGAAAGAGCAGAAAGGAATAGAATCACAGAAGACCTGTGAAGTGAGCCTTAGGATAGCTGTCATTTCTGGTTTCTAAGTGTTAACAAGTAACGCTTCTCTTCTTGAATCGTATTCAACATGTTCAGTTTGAAAGTCATTTGGATACTTAAAGTATGTGCGTGTGCGTGTGCGTGTGCGTGTGGCCCAGGACCCCAGCTGAGTTACCGTGTGCCCTTCACCGGGTTGTTGTTGCAGGGCTCCCACGTGCCGGAGCCCACCACGCTGGCCTCGATGTAGTACCCCACCAGCTCCTTGGCGTCTTTGGACTCCTCCCACGAAACCACCACCGAGGTGTCCGTGTTCCTGCTTGGGATGACATTGCCGGGAGCCTGGGGGATGTCTGAGTCAAGAGGAAGACGGTGACATGGTACCTTTAAAAAACTCCTCACATGTGCAGCAACACAAATAATCATGTCAAACATATAGTTGCTTTATAACGTGTTTATTAAAGCAGGAAAAGTTTCAAGTGTTAGTGTGGGAGCATAAGGATAAACCATATATCTGTGAATTTCAGAAACACACACACACACACACACACACACACACACACACACACTAGTTATTGAGACTCCTGGGGAAGTTTACTTTGTATGAACAAAAATGACCTTTATTTAAGGTATAGGCCAAGCCCAGCAATCGGACTTCACCATTTAACCTCTGAGTATGCATGCATATACTAATTCAGCTCTTGCTTATAAAATAGGCTCACAGCCTCTCAGCCCGATTGCACTTACCGAGTTTGTCCCCCACGACGGTCACCTCCGTGGCCTCCGAGGGCTCGCCGATCCCTGCTGAGTTGGAGCAGCGCACACGGAAGCGGTAGGACTTGCCCTCGGCCAGGTCGAACAGGGCGAAGCGAGGAGACTTCACCGGGAGCTCCGTGTTCACCCGCTGCCAGTTCTCCGTCCCCGCATCACACTGCAAGGACAGTGACACCCGCTGAGAGCCTGGCCCAGAACTGCGCTCGGGTGAGTAAGGCTGGCGATGTGGAGGAATGGCCGGCCTCAAGAGCACGGAGCACAGCCGTTGCTGGTGAGGACGTACGGAAGAGGAACCGTCTGCACCGTTAGTGGGGATGGGAGCTTGTACAACCACGATGGAAGTCAGTAGGGAGAGTCCCAAAACACTGAACAGAGCTTCCACTGGACCCAGCCAGACCTCTCCGGGGGATATGCCTAAAAGACATCAGGCTATAATGCTATGACACACCCATGTGTACAGCGGCGCAGCTCACAATAGCTAAGCTCTGCCTACCAAAGGATGAACGGCTAAGGAAAAGGTGATAGATACACACAATGAAATACTATTCCGCCATAAAGAAGAAAGATGTCATGCCATTTGCAGGAAAATGGATGCACTCTGAAACTATTACGCTATGTAAAATAGGTCAGACACAAACAGGAGAATACTGCATTGTTTCACTTATATGAGAAACCTAAGATATTAATAGAGGAGTAAAATAAAGAAAAGAAAGTGGAAAAAATAGATGTTTTCAGGTTGGGGATGGGTATTGGTGAAGGGGAGTTAGGGAAGGATAGTCAAGGGTTAGAAAATAATCCAGATATGTTATGTACATGTACCAATTCCCCCAAATGAACATAACTATGAGGTACTGCAAACACACACTCATTTTAAAAGGTTTACTAATACATCACTTGGCTTGATCTCCATTGACCTGATATGGAGATATGTCATGGGGAAGGGGCCCAAAGATGTAAGATTCAGCCCCAGTTGTGTTAATAGTTGGAAAACCACGATGCTCTTGATCTCAGTTTCTCATCTGTAAAATGGGTCAACTGAACAAGGTAAAAGGCTGGCGCAGTGTCTCCTATGAGAATGTGTCACTGTGTGTGGGGGCTGCTGCCTTCTGAGAGAGAAAATCCTCCAAGACCTTTAATTTTTCAGTTATAACTTTGATTCATTTTGACTTATTTTACCTGCAGAGAATACTTAAGCAATTATCGTCACTTATACTTTCGTAAGAAATATCATAGCTGTCTTTTACTGTGCTAAGAACCCTGTGAGCCATTGTAACTTTGATCCTCTCCACTACACTATGCCAGTCGCAGGAGAAGATCCAGGGTCAGAAGGCGGAGAGGCAGCCTGGTGTAGTGCAGGTTAAGCATTCCTTACTCAAAATGCTTGGGACCAGAAGGGGCCTCAGAATCCACAATTTTTGGATTTTGGAAAATTGAGCATCCCCAACCCAAAAGTCTGAAACGTGAAACATTTTGAGCACCACGTGGGCTCAGGGTCCTGGACTTTTGGATTAGGAATGCTCGGCCTGTAATCAGATTGCCCAGATTCAACTCCTAGCCACTTTATACAAGGGCCTTCTTTGTTTTTTGTTTTTTTTTCCGGTACCAGGAATCGAACTCACGACCTCGCGCCTGCCAGGCAGGCACTGTGCCGCTGAGCTAAATTCCCAGCCCCTAGCCACTTTATATTTGCAGTGCAACCTTGGGCAAACTGCACGCCCTGTACATGCTTCAGTGTCCGCACTTGCAAAACAGGCATGACAAATATAGCAGTGTGAACCTCGCGGGGTTACTTCAGGAACTAGCGTGTGGGCAATGGTGCCTGGTTCATGCTGAGGACAGAAAGAGGCTGGGAGCGACGCAGGTTTTGTCTCTGACACATCAGATGTTTGCAAGGGAATGAGGGAAAGAGCTCAAGACAAGACACCCACGGGGAAGGTGTGGGCCAAAGGAACGCAGCAAGACGGGGAGGCCTGTGTGCAGCAGCCCGCTCATCCGATCCCCGCGAGACCCCGTGCTCCCGCCCATTTTGGGGGTCGCAGACACGGTGTGACTGGCAAGCAGGTTCATGTTCTCTGCAGGCCCAGCCCAGGTGACAGGTCCTAGGGAGACATGTGGGCACAGGCTAGCCAAGAGGCGGCCCAACACTGGGAGCGGCAGGATCGCAGCGGGAGCGAGGGTCCTGTTCCCCAAGTGAGAGGTGTTCACAGTGTTATAAGCAGCTGAGTAGATAGAAATATTAGAGGCAGTCAGACAGGGCCAGGCCCTCGAAGGAGCCAACATGGAAGACAAGATACCTGGCAGACGCAGATGTATTTGCTTCAGGCCAGACCTCAAGACAAACGACTAAACAAATGCACCCACACACCTCCCTAGGGGTGGACATCAGGGATTGATGTTCTAAACAGGTAGCGATCACCTTAAAGTCACTGACCCAACCCCTTGCAGGAAAAGCCCCGGTTCTGTGTGCATGCCGGCTTGCTACGCGACTCGCTTCCCCCCATTTGATCCCGATTTAATCAATTTTACCCGAACAATTCTTATTTGCTCACCATGGTTTTGTCCCAACTCATGCCCACTTTGTGATTTCCCATTTTTCCGTTACCTTGGACTTGCCTCACCTCGTGGTTTTGCTCTATAGAAGTCCCTAGAGAAGACAGAGTTTGGGGCGTAACCCACTCGGGCCCCCTTCTGTTCCTCTCTTGGACAGAAGCTTTCTTTCCCTCAGGAAATATATTCTGCTCTTAACCTCCGTCGTTCCTAAAATTCATTCTTCGATTTTAGAGAACATGACTCATCCCAGATATCGTTCAGGCTGGGAGTTTCTATTTTCCTGTATCAATAGGAACAGGTACCCAGCTCAGGTGTGTGGTACATGCACAGCTCTGCAGGTGCCCTTGTCCCTGCGTGTCTTGTGGCCCCGAGCCCCAGGGCCCCGGGTGTTCAGTGTGCAGCCTCAGTACCCACCCTGCAAGCATCTCCCAGCCGTCTGCACAAGGGGCTGCTGGGAGAGTACTGCAGTCTTAACTGCAGTTCGTAGGTACCTAGATTTGGGGCATGACAGGCTTTGTGCAGGAAATGCTCCGCGGCGACCGGCTTGGACTCGTCCAAAGCAAACGCCTCAGGCCCGGGCTGTTACAGGCCATGGTTAGGGGAAGATGGTAATTACTGCCGGGGTATTCAGAGCTTCTTTCCAGGGAGCCTTTAAGGAGATGCGCTGGGGCGTGGGCGAACACCCCAGGAAGCAAGCGAGTACTTATCTCTCTATTATTTCCCCCTAAAAAAAGAGAAAGAGCTTAGGATGCTACTCTAGTTTTTTTTTTTCTGTGTGTGGCTAATATCTAGAAAATGTAAAAATATAAAAACAAATGTTTAATATTATTTTCATAAAACCAGAGTCTGTTGGCAGATGTCCATATTGCACGTGGAAGGAGTGACAAATTTATTGTTACCAATTTGCCAGGGATGAGAAAGAGGAGAGATGTAGCTCAGAGACCGCACTCACTGCCCACCACAAAGAAAAACCAGTGAATGAAGGGAAATTGCTCAGCCTAGGATTTTAGCTCTGGTGTAATTTTCTCAAGAACCACTTACTTGAAATACAAAAGGCCATAAAGATATTTGTTTCTTGTTTTATGTCGTTAACCTAAATGGCAGATGTCGGCACACTGCTACATCTACGAAATTTATTCTCTCGCAATAATTGCCAAGAATGATGACTTTTTTTTTTTTTTAATTTTTTTGCAGTATTGGGGATTGAACTTACCACCTTGCGCTTGCCAGGCAGGCGCTTATGCCACTGAGCTATATCCCCAGCCCTTTTCTGTGATTTTTCTATCAAAGTAAAATGTAAAGAAGTTTTCATGCTATCACAATTTTTTTTTGAAATTTTTAAAATTAAACATTTAGTTGTAATATTATCATGACTTTTTTTTTTTCCGGTACCGGGAATCAAACTCACGACCTTGCGCTTTCCAGGCAGGCACCGTGCCGCTGAGCTAAATCCCCAGTCCCTGCTATCACAATTTTATAAAATAAAATTTAAAAGTTCAAACACTGGTTTCATTTATTGTTAAAATATGGTGCCTCACTCCCCATAAAAATGTAAATTTTCTTAAATATAAGATCAAAATTTTTCTCAGTTATACCCTGATCAATCTGTTTTTGTTCGCTAGTTTCCAGTACTTGGGGTGCAGCCTTGGTCTCCCGCTACGCAAGCTCCTTAGCTCTGAGCTACGGCCCCTTTACTCTAACCAAAGCTTCCTCATGAAAGGGCTTGGAGCCTCATCTTGAGCGATTCTTTTCCAACACCCTTTTCCAGGAGCCACGATTCTGTGAGCCCAGGGCCTTCTGTGCCCTTTCGACTTGCGTCTTGTGTGCAACACAGGCAGCCGGGTCTATTTCCCCGATAATGTCCTGGCCAGGGCTCCTTCCCATTTGATGGGCGTAACTGCTCTTCAGGACGTCCTTGGAGGATTCGCCTGCCGTCCTCCTCCAGTCTCTCACTGTGTGCAGCCCTGTCTAATGACCTGATCCCTCTACATGTGCAACCCACCCCTGGAGGGAAGAACTGCCGACGTCGCAGGTTGTTTTGCCGTTCCTGACCTCGCCGTCCCACCTGGACACAAGGCAGGAGAGGGCTAGCTCCACCTCTCCCCACGCTGGAGAAGTTGTGAGCCTTCTCTCCTCCTCTTGCCCGTAAGGGTGGGGGGCTACGGAGCCACTACTAGAGCCCGGGAGGTGGAGAACGTCTCTAGGAAGCACCGTCACACCGGTGTCTACAGTTTCAGAGCTTTTCCCAGGGGTTATGGCTTGGGGTCTGCGGCCCTCTTGGGAGGGTACAGGTGAGTCTCGGGGGTCCAGCAGCCCCCTGAACTCGCAGGCGCAGTTCTGGGTGATGCACAAAGCTCCCTAAGGAGAGAGCTCACAGATTGCGAGAGTGTAAAGACCGCGGACATCCTAGTTCCCTTCTCCCTCACTGCACTGTCCCCAAAGATCTTCACCTCTGCTTCTTCAAAGCACTCTTTAGGAATTGGTGTGAGATGCCGCTGGCTCTGGAGTCTTACCTTCTCCACGAAGTACATAATGCCCTCGTGGCCACGCTGGCCAGGGGGCTTCCAGCTCAGCACCACGTAGTTCCGGGTGGCCTCGGTGACAGAGAGGTCTGTGGGGGGCCCGGGAACAATGCCCGCTGGAAAACAGCAAGGAAAAGTTAGGGGCACACCTTCTGGATAGGCCGGGACACTCAGCACCACGGCTCCGTCTCTCCTCCTGGAGGAAAGGGATTCTGGCTCCCCAGCATACAGAAGCAGCTTGCCTCTGAACTTCTCGCTAAAGCATCACTCACACAATGTCCGGTGCCCTGGAGCGTTTAGTGCACAGAGCTAAGGAGCCCCGGACACTGTCTACATGTGAGTCTGTGAAAGGAGAACCAAACAGTACAGGGCAGGGTGTGCTCCTGGTGAAAGGACACAGAAGGTCACACCAGAGGAGCTGTCAGGGGCTATGGGGCTGAGCTCTGTCTGTGTCGAGGTCTCCCACAGGTGGGGGAATAGTGTGCTCTGTCTCGCAATTCAGTTCCATCTTAGTAGGAAACCACAAAGCTTTCCGGACAGACAAGTTCTTGTCACTTCTTGACTGACCGGCAGCACTTGCAGCACATGCTCCTGACTCTTTTGATGTGTGCTTTTCAATTTCAGTGGAGTTTGTATTTCTGTTCCACCCTCTAGCCTCGAGCCCCTTGCTTGACCTTGACCTCTGCCATCTGTGTACTTCTAGACCCTTACTTCCCGCCTGGTAAGAGCAGCTTCAGCACAGCTTCAACTACAATCCAGCTCCATGGGGACCCTGCTCACCCCGTCGGTTCTAGGATTTTGTGTCCCACCTCCTTCTCATCTTGGAGCCATTGTAGCCCTGCTTACAATGGGTCCACCGGCTCTGAGGTCTAAATGCCCTGGGGTTGCCTCGCTATCTCTTATTCTCCCAACCCAACTATCAGAACTTCTTTTATACCCATCTAGGGTTGCCAGATTATTAGAGGATGTCTTCAGATTTTATTTGCTAAGGCAGCATCATGCAATTGTTTAATATAGTCGCTGTGGTTGGCATTCATTTTCAAACCTGACACAGTTGTTGGAAACGCAGTCGTTCTCGGCCCCCTCCGGTCTAGTTAAAGCTTCCCCTTGCTAAATGATACAGACCACTTGGTCCCCGTCCCAGACCAAAACCCACCGCACCTCCCAGGTGCTCACCACAATAAAACCTGGTCATCAGACTTGTAAATAAATTCCCCTTCTTGAGTGTTTCACTTTTAAACTAGCTGGTCCACTGCCCCTGTGAGAATGCCTAAGGGACAGTGCACATTGCAACCATTAATTTTTTTTTTCCAGTACAGGAATCGAACTCATGACCTTCCGCTTGCCAGGCAGGCGCTGTGCTGCTGAGCTAAATCACCAGCCATTAATTGTGATACATCAATTTAACCAGATTAAAACATAGAAGGGATCAGGAAGCACACTTTGCGTGTGTCTGGGCTGGTCAGGGGCGTGACTTGGGTACAGTGTCTGGTCCCTGGCCCTTTCCTCGCTGGCCCTGTTCTCTTGCTCTCTGCTTCCTTCCCGCCATGAACTACCAGCTGACCATGGAGTGAATTCTCTGAAACTGTGAGCTGAATAAATCTCTTCTCCTTAATCTGTATCAGAGAATTTGTCCCAGGAGTGGGAAAACTGACTATAACACCCGAAAGCCATGAAACACCCATTGGAGCACATTCCTGTAAGTCTCTCCCCAGTCATTCCCTGCTGCCTAACGAGGCAAGCCTTAAAAAGATTAGACTCTTTTCCCAGAATAAAGCTGAGGGATTTCTCTGGAAATATGAAATACTTAACACCAAACAATGTAAACTCCAGTGTCTAATATAAAAGAATTACCAAGTATGTAAGGAAGCAAGAAAATTAAGCTATAAATGAGGGGAGGAGAACAATCAGTAACAACAACACCAGAAATGTCACTGATGATAGAATTTGTACCATCTGTGAATTCTAAATACGACTAGTACATAAAAGCCCCGAAACAGCGATAAATGTGTTCCGTGTGTTCAAGAGGCTGAGCACTGAGGGAACACAGCATCGCTGAGCTGAGGGGCGGTTTCAGGTGGTCTCATCCACATATAAGGGGACTTCCTCAAGGGCAGAAGACAAAGGAGTGCAGGAGAAAATATAACCGTAAGAATTTTCCAGATCAATGACAACTGTAAATGCACAGAGTTGAAAAATTTGTTGACCTCGAACGTAAGATATATGAAAAAAATTAGATGCATGCACATTATAATTAAATTTCAAAAGAAAAGCAGTGGTAAAGAGAATATCTTAGAAGCAGATACAGAAAAAAAGGACACATCTAGGAACAAAAATGATAATGACAACAGTCATTCTTATAGTGAGGGTCTGTACCACAAGGGGCCGAGCTCTCTAGAAGACTAGCATCTTCTAGAATTGTGTATCCAGCGAAGGTATATGTAAAAACGAAAGTGAAGGAGACCTTTCCAGACATATATCACATGAAATAATTCTCAACCAGTAGACCTGCACTACCAGAAAGTCAAAAAAGTACTTCACGTGGAAATAAAACCTTATTGGATAGAAATCTGGATCTACAGACACACAAACAAAAAATGAAAAGGAATAAACAGCAGAATGTAATGTTGAAAACTTTTTTCTTACTTTTACAATCTCTTTGCAAGATAGCATAAAGACATTAAAGCCAACATGATAATGGTGTGATATTACAGGTTTATGACATGAATTTGAATAAACTGTATGACAGCCCAAGGCTAGGAGGTGGGCACTGCTGTGTAAGTTCCAGTGCTACTAATGAAGTTAACAGAGCACTCCTGGAAGGTAGGCTGAGGTTATATTATAAATTCCAAACTACTGAAGTCTAAAACAAATGATTATCCCAGCACTCAGGAGGCTGAGGCAAGCGTATTGCCTCAAGTTCGAGGCCAGTATAGGCTACATACTGAGTTCAAGGCCAGCCTGGACTACATGGTGAGACCCTATCTCCAAATAAATAAATAATAAATAAATAAAACAATAAAACAAATGGCTATAATCAATAGCATTGCACAGATAAATGGAATGATAAACTATGCTCAATCTTTAAAAAGTAGAAAAACTGGAAAAAAAGGAAACAGATGGAATAGACAGAAAACAAATAATATGATGATAAATTTAAGTCCAACCATATTAATTATCACATGAAATGTAAATGGTTAAAACATCTCAATTAAAAGCCGAAGACTGCCAAGTTAGTTAAGAAATCCACATCCAACCATATGCTGCTTGCAAGAAAGTTTACTTGTTTTTTTTGTTTTTTTTTTTGTCTTTTTGAGACAGGGTCTCGCTATGCAGTTAGGCTGGCCTTGAGCTCACTTTGTAGCCTAGGCTGGTCTCGAACTCGCAGTGATCCTCCTGCCTCAGCCTCCCGAGTGCTGGGATTATAGGCGTGCACCACCACACCCAGCTTGCAAGAAAGTTTAAACATAAAGAAAAATATGCAAAGTAAAAAGATGAAAGAATATGCCATGTTAACTCTAATCAAAAGAGAGGTGGAGGGGCTGGGGATTTAGCTCAGCGGCACAGAGCCTGCCTGGCAAGCGCAAGGTCGTGGGTTCAATTCCTGGTACCAAAAAAAAAAAAAAAAAAAAAGAGAGGTGGAAGAACTATGTTAAAATCAAAGCAGATTTCTAAGCAGAACAACATTGCCATCGGATAGGAGGAATCACATTGCAATAATAAAGTGGTTAATTCACCTATCTAAATGAACATAGATGCAAATTTCTTCTACATGAATAGAGATGCAAAGATTTCTTTTTTTTTATTTTTTATTTTTTTTGGTTTTTCTCCGGTACCAGGAACCAAACTCACGACCTTGCGCTTGCCAGGCAGGCGCTTTGCCACTGAGCTAAATCCCCAGCCCAAGATGCAAAGATTTCTAACAAAAGTTTAATGAATAACAGTATGTAAAAAGGATAATACACAACATAGATGCAAAAGTCCTAAAAAATTTTAGAAAAGAAACTCCAACAATGTAGGAAAAGAATAATATAGTGTGAAAAAAAAAAAAGAATAATATAGTGTGACTAAGAGGGGTTTGTCCTAGGAATGAAAGGTTGGTTTACTAATCTAAAATCACATCGTATTTAGTGGGAAGGGAAAAATTATCCAATAATCTCAATACATGCAGAAAAGACACTTGAGGAAATCCAATATTTATTCCTGATGTATATCTCAGCAAACTAGCACTAGAAAGGGCTTTTCCCAACCTAATAAAGGATGGCTATAAAAACCCTCCCTGCGCTGGGTGAAGTGTCAAGAGCCCGTAACCCCAGCACTCGATAGGCTGAGGCAGGAGGATTGCCTTGAATGTGAGGCCAGCCTGGGCTACATAGTTCATGGCAAGCCTGAATTACAGGGGGCTGGGGATATAGCTCAGTGGCACAAGCATCTGTCTGGCAAGTGTAAGGTCCTGAGTTCGATTCCTGGTACCAAATAAAAATGAAAAAATAATGAAATAATTTTTTTAAAAAGCCGGAATTATAGAGTAAGATCCTGTTTCAAAAAAAAAAAAAAAAAAATCTGAAAAAAACCCTATCTGTAATGCTAGGTTTGATGGTAAAGGACTAAATATTTTTTTCCTTTGAGATAGAAAAGGCAAAAATGTCTCCTTTTACCAGCGCTAATATTATAACACTTCCAGAAAACAATAGCAAAAATATGAAGATGTCAAACAGCACGGAAAGGCTGAGTAAGCACACAAAAAGCTGCCCAATATTATTAGGGAAATGCAAATCGAAAACACACCGCTGCCAACCACAAGAATAGCTAAAATTAAAAGGGCGATCACACCAAATACTAGTGACAGCGAGAAACACCTGGAACACTCAGTGGTGCCGGTGAGGCTCAGGCAGATCTCAGAATAATTGTGCCAGTGAAGGAAACCAGGCAAAGGTGAGTTTGAGCCCATTTCTTTAAAGCCGTGGACAACGCAAGCTGCCGTGACAGAGAGCGGTGGGCGCTGGCCGGGGACACAGCGCAGGGAGGAGGAACGGCAAGCAGGCTCGGGGAAATTTCAGGATTGCAGATCTGTTCACTCTTGATCACGGGCACGGCTTCGCGAGTGTACGCACATGTGAAACATCGAACTGCACATTTTACGTTCTTGCGGTTTATTGTGTGACAACTGCCCCTCAAGAAAGCGGTAGCAATAAAATACGATGCTCTGGCGCCTGGGTGAAGAGCGCCGTGCTAGCGTTGGTGCTCCGCACCACTCCCAACGTGTGACTCTGGGAAGTTGCCTTGTGAGTCCAGACATTTTAAATGTTCTGTCCAAAGCATCGTAAGGTGCCTGATGCTCTGGGCTACAAAATTTCAGCTGCATAGCCAAACCCCAGCAAGAGCATCTGGGGAGACCAGAGTCCTTACCCGAGGGCTCCTCTTCCGTGACGATGATCTGCCCAGTCCAGGGTGCTGATGGGCGACCTGCACAGAGAAGAATATAAAATCACAGACGTTCACAAGGGCGGTTTCAGCGGCACTGATAAACTGATAAACTGGCTGGATTAGTCATGAGTTTGGTCCCAGCTCTTCAGTATTTTCCTAAGACATCATATCAGATGTGTAGGTGGGGGTGTGGGAGACATGGGGACCCGAAGTCTCCTAGAGCCTAGACTGGACAGAGTGGGGTGACTCACACAAGCCAGCTGAATAACCTGCGGCGTGTAACTGCTCAGGGGGGCTCTCCTGAGGATGCGTGCTTTCCCAGCCTTCCTAAGAGACAGCGTATGTCTGGGGAGACATTCTAGAGCAATGATGAGCCCAGTTATTATCTGTCAAAGAGAAGAGGGGCGCTCATCCGGCAGTGAAGCTCAGCAAAAGCAATTTTTTCCCATTCCACTTTTGCAAAGTGTTATCTACCGAGAAAGTCAGTTGAGATCTTGAGTGAGCAAAGTGGATGAGATAGCCCTGCAGTCAAAAAGGAAATTCTTCCTGTGACCCCATGAACTCCAGAAAGAGAATAGTTCAACTTCTGCTTTCCTCAGGGATTTTTTTCCATGAATTTGCACAAAAGTGGAAAGACATTAAAGAAGACAATTGATTTCCAACTCAAACAATTGTACTTTGGTTGGATTTGTAAGAGAACAGTAAATGAAGCCTGTGTAGGATCTGCAGATTGAGGAAAGAGAGAGAGGAGAGGGACGATGGGTGAAAAGTGGCTGGAGAACAAGGAGCTGGCTAGAGCCAGCATGGGGAGCGGTGACAGCATCTTACCTAGATTCTGGCCAGGCTACGGCAGCCGTTAAGGTAGAGGACAGCCCTGTGGAGAGGCCATCAACCTGTGGCCCATCACTAGAGAGACTTTGCCCCACCCCCGGGGGGATATTAGACAGCATCCGGGGACACTTTTGATGGTCACTGTGGGAGAGTGATGCTACTGGCACCCAGTGGGTAGATGCAAGGGACAAAAGTATCCTATGAGACACAGGACACCTTCCTTCCCCAACAAACAGCTACCGGCCTAAAGTGCCAACAGGGTCCAGGTTGACAGGCTGGTACAGACTGCAGTAGCATCACCCAGAAATTCCTGTAATGTCACCGTGTGGTCCCTATTACGGAGATGTCAAATGGGCTCCATGAAACAAGTGCAGGCCACCATTCATGGACCATGGTTTGAACATTAAAATCTGGAAACAAGTCGGGCGTGGTGGTACACGCCTGTAATCTCAGCACTTGGAGGCTGAGGCAGGAAGGAGTACTGTGAGTTCAAGGCCAGCCTGGGCTACAAAGGCTGAGCAGGATCTGCAAATTTAGGAGAGGGAGAGATAGGGAGGGAGAGAGAGAAAGAGACAGAGAGGAGAGGAGAGGAGAGGGGCAGTTGGTGCAAAGTGAGTTCAAGGCCAGCCCGAACTGCATAGTAGAACCCTATCTCAAAAAGACAAAAAAGGAAAGAAAAAAAACCTGGAAACTAAGTACAGGAAGATTAAACCGTCTAATGCGGAAACTCAAATTCAGATCAGATATAATGTAAATCTGCTTTTCTGTTGCTATAAAGAAACTCACAGTGTTGAGACATTCGTGCTCTGGGAGCAGATTTCAAAGTCAAGAGACGCTTTGAGCCAGGAGCGTATGGGAGTGCACTGCTAAAGTGAACAAAAATGCTCTCCAGGCTAGTTGTTTGCATGTTTCACTCCACACACAGCGCCTGGAGCCCAGATTAACGAGGCAAGCTATAAGATAAAAAATAAGATGAAATATAAAGTAAGATTACATGAAGCCCTGAAGAAACTGGCTGAGCAAGAAAACCAGCTCACCCTCTTCCCCAGGATTTCCTGATGAGAAAAGGATTTCTTATTCTCATCTCCCTCTGGTGGAAGGGAGTGGGACAGCCTTGCAATGAAGTCTACTGCCGTTATTTTTTTTTAATTTTAATTTTAATTTTGTTTTTGTTTTCGAGACAGGGTCTCGCCATGCAGTTCAGGCTGGCCTTGAGCTCACTTTGTAGCCGAGGCTTGCCTCAAACTCGCAACGATCCTCCTGCCTCAGCCTCCCAAGTGCTGGGATTACAAGCGTGCGCCACCACGCTCGGCTATTGCAGTTATTTTAGTTCATTTAATTTAATGTTTGCGCTACTGGGGACTGAATTCAGGGTGTTTGCATGGAGCTACATTCTCAGATCTTTGTTATTTTAAGAGAAGGTTTAACTAACTTGCTAAATTGTCCAGGCTGAGTTTGAACTTGAGATCCTTCTGACTCAGCACCCCAGGGTACTGGGATTACAGGTGTGTGCCACAGTTATTTTTATTTATTTATTTATTTATGTCTTTCTGAGAAAAGGTCTTGCTGTGCAATTCAGGCTGGCCTTAAGCTCACTGTGTAGCCCAGGGTGTACTCAAACTCGCAGTGATCCTCCTGCCTCAGCCTCCCGAGTGCTGGGATTACAGGTTTGTGCCACCATGCCCAGTTTCCATAGTTATTTTTAAAAGGTAAAAAAGTACAAGGGAGGATGCTAAAAAATGGAAAGTGCATGCTTACTTTTGTTTGTTTGTTTGTTTTTCGGTACCGGGAATTGAACTCATGACCTTGCGCTTGCCAGGCAGGCGCTGTGCCGCTGAGCTACATCCCCAGCCCCTGCATGCTTACTTTTAAGTCTAGCTTTCTCAGCTGGATCCAGTGCGGCCACGGGCTCAGACACTCGAGAGGGTAGGCCTATTCCATTTTTATTCACAGCTCGAACCCGGAATATGTAGGAACGGCCTTCTATTAATCCGGTGACTGGAAAGCGAGCAAACTTCACGGGGGTATCGTTGCACTGAGACCAGCTGTCGGTGCCCACCTCACACCTAGGGGACAGAGCAGATGGACAGGAACGTTACACGTGACGGCTACGCGAGCGGCCCCAGAGCTGCGAGCCAGCCCACTGCTTCAGGCCTCTGTTAAGCCCGACACCGCCAGGCCTCCCTGGGTCTGCACACCGCGGGACTCCGTTCCACCCACATGCAGCGCCTTCTGAACAGGAAGAAAGGAGCCTCCGATCTGTGCTGAATTTGAAAGCAGGCAGCCGAGAGGCCCATGTGCTAAGCAAAGGCGTTTGGAAAAGAGGAAGGGGGAGGTGACCCCCAAATCCTTAAGTGGCAGAGACTTAGAGGGAGGGCTCCCCACCCTCACATGTCCCTGGCTGATGCCTTCCGTCCACTATTAGTGATTTCTTTCTCTGTCTTCCTTAGGCATTTTCTTTCCCAGTGGCAGTGCTGTTGACATTTTGGCCCCTTGAAAGGTAACCGTTTACACTGTAGTTTGGAAAACAGCTCAGCATGCATCTTCCTATTTTATTGGCACTACATTCTACGTGGGTGGAGGGGCAAAGAGGCAATTGTAATATGTTTGCTTTTCACAGGTGACGTTGACAGGCAAGGAGATCCCCAAGGACACGAAGGGCTTGGAAGCTGGCTTCCAATCCAGTGTGCTCCTGCGGTTAGCCAGGGATGGACAGGGCCACCCCGCAGGAGACGAGCATGACAGTTCATCTCATGCTGTTGGCCTGCTCCGTGTGACCCGGTGTGTGATGGAGTTACGAAGCGTTAGCATTCAGGATGCATTGGGTTTTTACAAGCAGAACTCAGCACATCTAGTTTACTTCATTCCCCAAATGCCCCTGTGTTTAAGATGTGTAATTCCTGAGTGTTTCTCAGGGCGGGGAGTCCTGGGGGCAGAACAAAAATGGTAGGAGGTCTCCCCGTGGCACCTCTGAGATATAAACCGTAGCGTTTTCTTCAACACTACACAAAGTACCATCAAACACAGCCTCCCTCCCTGCCTTCCATACCTGAGTCTCTCTTGTAGAAATTCTGGAGCTGCTATGGGGTGGGTGTGGGGTGGGGCGGGGGGTGGGGCTGGGCAGGGAGGCTGGGAACCACTCTGTCTCTCAGATCCTGCAGACTCTGCCCTGATGACCCGGAGACAGTCGCATGCAGACAGGCAGAGAGAACCCACTGGTCTAGGATCCTTGCCCACAGCCAGCTGGTGTCTGAGGCCCGGTTCTGACACTTCCTGCCTGTGTGACTTTGAGCGAGTTAGTGTCTCCTCCCCGGTGTGCGGCCCTGGGCCTGCTGCTCCTTTCCTCCTGTGATAACGCCTTCCTCCAGGACACCCAGGGCTAGTGGCAGACATGCAAAGTAGTTAGAGCAGAGTCGTGTGTGTAGTGCATGCTTAATAACTGGCTGTGAAGCAGCCATTTGTACCATGACTAAGAAAGAAGATGACAAGATGTTCTGATTGTTCCCCATCTCTCACTGGCCAAAGTTTGCCAATACTTTGGACATGTGTCAAAGCCAATACAGCGGGTCTGTGTAAACCTTCACGATTCATCTCTTCTAAATGATGTGTCCATAGCATTTCATGTGTATGGTTAAATCATATATAATTTATAGAAATATTTCTGTAGAGGGTATTGAGTTCAATGGGCACACATTTACTTAATATTAGAAATATAAGGTTTAATACACCTTGGTACAAACCTATTGTACCAGAGTGACACCAAATACCTGTCTCTAGTGGTTTCCATAATCAAAAATAAAAGAGAATTAAAGCAACTACTTGAATAGGAACCAAGTCAGAGAACAATGTATTCAGGCTAATAGTCTAAATTTGTTGCCTGCATTGTCAAACTTTCTGGACAACTGGTGTGTAAAGCCCTGATACTATAAATATTAGAATCTCTAAGCTCTGGAGAGAGTAAATAGCAAGAACTTGTAGATAAAAGCATCATTTAATAGTATTGATTTTTGTTGTTATATTTTGTATAACTTCAAACCATATCTTGCAACACAAACAATATTTTTGTATTCCTAAAGTCAGCATCCTTAAATTATTGACATTCTAGGAATACAGCCGTTAAACAAATGCATAGCAGCTATTTCATTCCCGTAGGGCCTCTATTAGGTCTTCAAATTCACAGCATTCCTGCTGAGCTAGTGGCTTGAGCTGGAAGGCAAATTCAAAGAGTTAATCTTTGGAATGTAGGTAAACAGGTAGAAACGGATGTCTAGCTAGAGGTCCGAACGTGTGCACGTGTGCACACAGAGAGACAGAAAAGAGGAGGCGGCACCCGGGCAGAACTCGGCAGGAGCAGCCAGGCGCGCGCGACTCAGCGCAGGCGGGGCAGGCACTAACTTATCGATGAAGTAGCCCAGGATGGGGCTCCCTCCGTCCACAGCTGGCTGCTTCCAGGAGATGATGATGTAGTCTTTGTTGGCTTCCAAGCTCACCACATCCAAGGGCGCAGCAGGGGCACCTTCAATCTCGGCGTCAGCGTCTGTGAGACACGGGGAGATCCGGTTGCCGCCCAGCCGCGCCCTGCCAGGGAGCAGCTGTGGCCTTGGCGCACACCTGTCTCACCGCACAGTGGCCACAGCTTGGGCCCCAACAGAACGAACTTCGAATCTTGTGATTTGTTTACCAACACAACGCGTGTGCTTTCCCCCTCAGAGGGAAGTACATTATGTTAGAAGGTAGACAGGGCTCTGAAGGCACCGGCGACTTCTACCTCCTGGCCCTTGCTGCCCGGAATGTTCCGAAATAAAAGGAGCAGGGCGATGCTGGTAACTGCTGTCAGGTAAGGAACCCGGCCAGCGTGTCTGTTCTTACGGCACCGGTCGTACCATGCTGCTAATAAGGTATGGAGCTTCGTGGAGGACAAAGAGCTCCTCTGCCACCTTCTGGTTGCACCCAGAGATAGTAAGAACCATGGAGCTTCGCCCACCCTTAGACCGGGCACTAGAGAAAAGAAACATCTGTTTAACTAAACACGGCCTCCAAACTGAGGACTCTCAGGGAAAGAGCCCTGACGGTGCATCTGGGTCTGAGCCTGGTTTATCTGAGGTTAGGAAAAGTCCAGGCTATCGCAAGTGATGGAGACCGGCGGCTGCTTGTGCAATGGGATCTGCACAGCGGGATCAGCGCATCGGGGCTGCTGGTAGCAGAGAGGAAGGGAACTCAAGACGCCTGCTAGTCACCTTTTAAGAACAGAGGCGCCATCCCTAGAGGAGCGTTCCCATTTGCCAATTCCTCCTGGCAACTGCCTGACCCCTCACAAGCAGGGTTAGCGGGAGGGGTTGAGCCATGCTGGAGCCGCTCACCCCAAGGAAAACACCCTTGCTGACCGGACACACACTGTCTCTTCTTACGACCTACACGTCTGCAATGCTTATGAGTCACTGAGACATCAGATCACATGGCAGAAGTATTAGCCAACCTGTGAACTAAACAGCTTTGATAACTGCGAAAAACCCAACATTACTTTTTTTTTCTTCTTCAGTAATCCCAGGGATTGAACATATGCACTGAACTACCTCCTCGGTCCTTTTTTATTTTTATTTTTAAAAACTTTAAAATTTTGAGACAGGGTCTTCCTAAGCTGTTAACTTGCCCTGGCAGGACTTAAATTTGCAGTCCTCCTGCCTCAGCCCCCCGGGGTGCTGGGATTAGAGGTATGCGTTGCCACACTCAGTTTATTTGGATTTTAAACGTTCTGTTCCATGCTCCCTGAACCAGCAGGGAAGTGGCTCTGGGCAAATTTCTCCTTGTGCCCGAGGCTGAATGTAGAACCCCGGAGTGTCAGGCAGCAGGAGACATTTGGGTGCAGAGACCCCGCTGCTTCCCAACTCTGGGAGCCCTGGACAGGGACAGTGGGGCCGCTCAAGGTGAGAGTAAGCGCTCAGGAGTGTAGTGGGCACCAGGGGTGATCTGCCCACCCAGGCAGCAGAAGAGTGTCTGCTAGAAAGACACCCAGTCTTCAGGGGATGGCGGAACCCTCTCGTAGTGTCCTTTTGTTAAAGGCCTGCCAAACAACAGCACCTCCCAAGCTTTTAGGGGAGCTTAGCTGGGCAGCCTGCGCACCTTTCTATGATGGTGGGGTCACCATGTAACAGAACCTGGCGGACAGGAGGCACTAGGGAGCCACCTCCCAGCATCTTTATAACGCTGTCTGCAACACGCCTCGCAGGGGTTGGGTTTGGCAACCTTCCAAGGTACCCGGACATGCATTCATGCATTTAGTCATTCATTTGTTCATTGCTCTTCCAGGTGCTAACACAAAAGTTAAAAAACAAGGATCGTTCCTTCTCCCAAGAAGGTACAATACAGCAGGCAACACAAAACACTGAGAGTGACAAAAACACAACCCTGGCCGCCGGACAGAGAACCTGGCTTCCAGCAGGGTGTCCGGGGCACCAGCCCAGCCCCTCGCAGGTGGACTTTGGCCTGACCCTCTCCCCGCCCTCTGAGCAGCCCCGGTACCAAAGGTTAGCCTGCTGCTTTTTATGTTCTGACCTCTGGCACAAGTCACTTTTTTCAAAGTGTAATTCTATTGTCTTCATTATGACAATAGTGCATGGGTATAAAACATGCGACAAGACGTTTAACTCTTCATTCCATAGCACAGAGATAACTACAGCTAACCTCTTGGCCTAAGCCTTGCTAGGTTCTTCCCCTACATTTATAAACTCAAAAATGATTAAGAATAAAGTGGAGTCAAGCTTTATGAGAATTTTTTTCTTGATACATTTCTATATATACCAATTACATAGATGTGTCACTAGTTTTCATTGCGCTTCAGTATTTCATTACTTATACTGAGCATCTGTGTACTTCCTTTTATATAAAATATATACTTATATTTACTATTTCCTATAAATATACATATACTTTATTTTATAATATTGGTAGATATCTAGATTTTTTTCCAGTTTTCCCTAATACAGATCTTTTTCATCTTTGTCTGCTTTATCATTTGTCTCTGTATCTCTCTGTAAGTGTGTGTGTGCATGTGTGTGTGGGGGAGAGGAAGAAATACAGGACACAACCAAATGGTCACACTGGGTATCTCTGGATGATAGACAGGGATGGCTTTTCCTTTACTTTCTTTCTTTCTTTTTTTTTTTTTGCTTATTTATATCACCTATATTTTTACAATGAATGCATAATATCTATGTAATAAGGCCCTGGCCAAATGCATATAGCGCTGCAGAGTGTTTCTGCAGACATACCGTACTTTATACACTGACTGTTCTGTTGCAGAAGCTATTTTCTAAGCAGCAAAAATATCAGTGCTCTAAAAAAAAATACATTGAAATGGCTTCATGCAGCTCAGTGGATTCAAAGTTTTGAAAACATTTTAAGTATCATATAAAACACTCTGGTAGTTTCTTAAAAAGTTAAGCATAAATTTATCCTATGACCCAGCAATTCCACGTGTAGGTGTGTACCCACAAGAAATGGAAACACAGGCCTACAAATATGGACAGAAATGTTCATAGCAATATCATTTATTCTAATCAAAGAGTGAAAATGATACAGCTGTCTACGAGCTGGTGCAAGTATAGACAAAAACAGGCCCATGCACACACTGGGATATTATTTTTCAGTGAAAACATAAGTGAACATCAAAACATGCTAAGTGAAAAAAAAAGGTAGGCACAAAAGACAAAATGTATCACCCAAACTGTCCAGAAAGACAAAGCTATGGAGACAGTAAGTCAGTGGTTGCCAGAGGCTGGCTGGGAATGGATGAATGGGAAATGGGAACAAGATTTAGGGTGATGGAGATGCTGTAAAAGCTGGGGCTGGGGTGGAGCTCAGGGATAGGACGCATGCCTGGCATGTGCGAGGCCCTGCGTTCACTCCCCAGTCACCCAGATTGGCTTGGGAGCCACCTTGTGGATGAGTAAAGCACCCTTGCGTGTGTTTCTGGGAAGGTCACGGAGGACTGACCCAGCAGTCAGTAGCTGGCTCCCACCTCTTCCTCTCCGATGCGCTTCCCTGCTCTGCTTCCTGGACACCATGAACTAAGCCCCTTTGTTACGCCACACCCTTCCATCAGGGTGTTTCCCCCTTGGAGCCAGCTACCCATGGACTGAATCTTCTGGAACTGTGAACCCAACAAACTTCTCCTTTACATGATGGGTGTTGGGTAGTATGTCTCAGCAACAGAAGGCTGACTAATACAACATCTGAGATAGAGATGAGATGGGGGAGAGAGAGGGACAGAGACAGACGGAGACAGACAGACAGAGAGGGAGAGAGATCTAGGGATTTAACCCAGTGCCTTCACTCGGAGCTATAGCCGCAGCCTCACTGATTACTTATCTTGAAACATGGTGTCACTAAGTCACTAAGTTGCTTAGGAGGGGCTCAAACTTGTAATCCTCCTGCCTCAGCCTCCTAGAGTTGCAGGATTACAAGTATGGGCCACTGCACTCAGAAACAACTGATGAGACTTAGAAATCATCCACTTCCCTATCCCATGGATTTTAGAACCCGTTTAAGGCTAAATTTCAAATGTGTTTGACACCTCCCCCTCATCTGCAATGAGCCCTGTAAAGTCTGGTCTACTCCTAGCCGAGAGGCACAATTCTGGGCATGTTACTGGGAAATGCGAAGGAACCCCAGAGCAGGCCAGGGTCCCAGAAAAACCATGGGGAGGAAGCACCAAAGCCTCGGTTTGCTTCTTACATCGCTGAAGATGTTCTCTGGTTCAGCTAAGACAACCGAGACTAGAGGCAAAGACTTTGCCAGCCTCGCTGGGTTTGGGCAGGTGACCAGCTACCTGCAGTGACGTGCTGACAGGTTCCAGGGAGTCTGTTTTCATTGCGCTTTGCACTAAAGGTGGGCCTCTCTCCCTCCAGCAATATCTGACTGGCCAGGGTGCTTCTGTGTTAGTCTGCCACATTTTTCTGACGTTGTACGCACCCGCCTGTCTTTAGCAGCTCCTGGTCTGTGGCAGAACCCAGTTACCATGTATTGAACAAGAGTGTGGCACAGACTGCCGGATGTCCTTTCGGGTCAGGGGACATGCTGGCCACCTAGCGACTGACCCCCAGGGAGGGCTGTGTATGCTCGTGCTCTCCAAGCAGAAGCGACTGGACAGCTCTCCTGCTCCGCTTCCTTCCCTCTCCAGAGGCACGGGTGGGAATAGGACTGCACCATGCAGCACAGGGAAATAAGGGGACCTGGACGCCGCATGGCCACATTCAGCAGAGGCGCCCTCCGACAGACCCAGGCAGAAAGAAACTCTGCTGTCTTGGTGCCTCCCAGGTCACCTCTTACATCAGCTCTGCTTTTCCTGGGAATGCATATTCCTATTCCAGGTAACCTGGACATGATTTCAAATGGTTCTCTCATCAGTACAAAACACTTTGGGGAAGCGTAATCTGGTTTCGGTGTTTTGAATATGGCTGGGCTTCTGCTGCTCGCAGAGTCTTACCTCGGACAAAGACATAAGCGCTGTATTGCTCATAATACTCTCCCATCCGTACGCGGATCGTATAGAGGCCTTCATCTTCCTTGTTGAGATGAGAAAATGTCAGGGTTGCCCGATCGCCGCTCCAGTGTGTTTGCACCCACTTCGATGGGGAGACAGGTGCCCCTAGAAATAAAGCATATGCAAGTCAATTGAGTTTTACTCTATTCTGCCCCTTTTACTCCTTTCCCTTCATTCCTCTTCCTCTCTTATTTTTCCTTTCCTATATTGAAAATTATGTAGTAGAGGAAGTCCTTAGAGCTTCAAGCTCTCCTGCCAGAGGTACAGTGGTGCCTTGGGTCAGGCGCTTAATTCTTTCCATGATTTTTTTTTTTTTTTTTTTTGACACAGGGTCTCACTATGGAGTTGAGGCTGGCCTGAACTTACTGTGCAGCCCAGGATGGTCTCGAACTCACAGCAATCCTCCTGCCTCAGCCTGTCAAGTGCTGGGATTATAGGCATGTGCCACGACACTGGGCTTATTCCACAATTCTGGAGGAGATGGCATGTTCATGTTTGAGCAGGAAAGGTGGCCACAGCCGTGTTTGTCACCGAGGCAGAATTTGCAAACAAAAACAAAATTTTGCCAAATGCTTCTGTTTGCAAACCGAATTGTCCACAAATAAAAACTTTCATGAACTGAGGCACCGCTGTATATTTGTAGAAGTACTGGACGGAAGAGAGAGGCTGTGGGCCAGATGCTACATTTCTAGGCCCAGCACGGAATTAAATTGCAAAACTTTTTGTCCAAAATGCAGAGAGAAAATTCAGTTACAGGTGCCAAATTATAAGGCTTTTTCTCTTTTAAATGTTTTCTAATTTATGAAACCTACTAGGGGGCATGCCAACTGTAAAAACAATTTTTGTGCCATAAGTTTACATCCAATAAATAATAATACTTTACCAATGTAAAATCTAAATTGATGAGAGTTCTAGCTTGCTTTTTACAATTGTATTAGGACATCAGAATTTATATTTTAAGCAACTTCATTTTAAATCAATATAATCAAAAGTAATGTAATCAAAAGTAAAGTTAGCCACTCTATAAAGGTAAGCTTACCAAAAAATGCTGATAATTTTTTATTTAGAGAAGGATCTTTCTGCTGATATAACTATTAGCGAAGCTGTTAAGAGTTCCAATAGAGTATGGCAACGTTGAGTTAGCTTTCTATTGCAAAGTCTAAATTTTAAATACTCTAGAACTGATGATTGTGGAGGAAGAATTTTTCTAAAAAGACTTAACTCCATACAAAGTGGAACTATAAGTCTGAATTTTATTATAAATATAAATTTACACAATTCCATCTTAATGTTTCTTTTGACATGTACTCTAATTTATGGAGGTCATACTAGAAACCAAAAATGATTTGTAATTTGTCCATAATTCAAAATATGTTTATGCTTTCTATCACTGCATCTTTAATTATAAATAAATAGTAATTTTTTTTGAGACATAGTCTCACCACTATGCAGTTCAGGCTGGCCTTGACTTCACTTTGTAGCCCAGCCTAGATTGAAATGCACCTTGAGCCTCCTGCCTCAGCCTCCTTCAGGTGGGACTGTAGACATGTGCCACTATGCCCCACTAACTATAAAACTAACCCATTCATCCAGGGTTTCAAATAAAAATTGTGCTCTTTCCTCAAATCTTACAACTTTTAAATTCAGTTTCTAAGCCTCAGAACCAGAGATTCTAAACTCTGAAGTGTCTAGCCCGAGTGCTTGGTTTGCCATGTATGCGTGTGGCTTTTGATGTGACTTTTAACTGGCTGCCACAGTTCTGTCCCAGCACTGGGGATCCCAGGCTGTGCTGATCCCACAGAGATGGCTCCAGGGCGGGGGCAGGTCTCACAGTGCAGCCCCGGGGAATCCCCCTCTTGCCGGGGCCTCAGCCACAACCAGCTCTGTGCTGGTTGCCGAAGGCCAGCTGCCGCGTGGTGAGCACGTCCCAAACCACGCTGGACTCGCTGCAGGCCTTGCTCGCGGCCGCTCCTCTGATTGTGTGTGCACCACTGTCCCATCAGACTTCAGGACAGAACACAAGTTCAAAAGCAAAACGACGAGGAGTTTCAGGGCGCTGGCTGAGCCTTCAGTCCAGCTCAGGTCCCCTTCCAGATGTGCAGTTCACAAGCCCATAAAAGCAACTCAAAATGTGCAGTAAGTATATTCTGCATTCAAAACACACTGTATTAAGGACACAGCGTAGATGAAGCTTTTCTTTTGTTGTACGTCATTTTATAACGGAAGCTACACATTTCAAAATGGTAGAGAGCCGTGGGCACACTAAAACAAAACTGCTAAGGTCTGAATCTCTTCATTTACTCTGCTGGTTAGTTAATAGTATCATGATTTATTGGTTCATATATTTATATGTGCTTATAAAATTTTTATGGTACAAATGATAAATCTATCAGGGAAAGTATTTTAACAAAAATTAACTTATGAAGTGAATATTCATTTTTTGGGTAATGCCATTTATTTGGCAATAAGAAAATCTCAACTCCACAAACATATTATTAAAGTGTTGCTACTTTGATGTGAGGGTGAACATGTTTTAGACACACAGCAAGCTGTGCCTTCTGACTCTCAGATTACGCCAGCCCTGATAAACAGTGCTGCACTCTGGCTTCTGCGGGTTAGAACCCGATCAAGATTCACGACAGAGACTCACCATTCCTGTACCACTGGATTTTCGGCTGGAAGCACTTGATTTCGGGAGTGATGACCACACGGCAGCCCAGACTCATTGTCTCTCCCTCTCTCCCAAAGGACACGTCGAACTTGTCATCAAAGTGGATCTCAAACTTGGACGCGTAGCCGTAAGGGGTCACGGCAACTGTTATAACCAAGACAAATATCAACGATTTATCTCCTTTCCTCATCAGAGAGTCACAAGCATTTTAAATAGCACAGGCAGGAAGCAGTTGCTACAGAGAATCAAGCAAAAGTTTTATCTGAGCAAAAATAAAGTCCTACGTAAGAACTACACAGAACACACGCATGTCTCATTTATGTGGGAAATCTTGCTTCATTGATCGTATAATCTCATTGCTTGTGTTTATTATGGGAATAAATAGCATTTAAAGGGTTGGGCTTAATATCTAAAACACAAATTAATAGCACATGTAGCCTATCTTTGTTCAGCTGCAATATACTTGTCTTTTAATTTAGGTTTTCAGTTACCTTCAGGCCCACTGCTTATACATTTGAGACAAAATAGTCGTATTGACGGCTGTTAAAAATAGTCTTTAAGTAAGGGAAGATTTCGTTTTAAAAATTTATTAAAAATCCCAATAAGAAAATGGAAAGGTTTAAAATATTGTAACTTTAAAAGAATTACTCTCAGATTATAGATTAAATGTCTGGGTTGCTGACTTTTCTGGGTTTTCTTTTCTCCTTTTTCAAAAGGAGGTTAGGAAAGAAATGACTGTTGCTGACGGGTTCTAAGTGCCAGGCGCTTCGCCGGTGACATGTCATCTACTCCTGCAGCTCCACAGCACAGATCCGAGTCTTGCCCGCTTCACAGGGGGCATGGAAGTTCCGAGGGGGACCCGGTGAGCACCAAGAGCTCGCAGGCGGCGGGGGAAGGATTAAAATTCAAGTCCTAACTGCCCAACTCTGAAACTTGCAGCCTTTCTCTTTACGTTTAGTCTCTTTTCCTAAGGCCTTGCAATAGCATCTTGAGAATGCAGTTTATTTTGATCAGCTTTGCCAGGGCTTGTTTCGTGTATTTAACAGCTGCCAGCTTGGCTGAGCTGTGTAATCACCCACCAGGCAAGTACCATTATCGTCTCTCTTTCATGGAAGAGGAAACTGATGCAAATGCGGCTAAGCCACTGTCCACGTTCCCCACAGAGCCAGGTGTGCACTGGCGGGGTGTTCGCCCCCAACCGGTGCGTTATAAGGCCCTGCGCTGTGTCCCCAGGCAACTGCTCACTAATGCTGGGATAATGTCTCTTTGGAGCCCCTCTCCCATCTCCTTGTTTTCGGGGGATGACGTCCCACCTGAGAGACGCCACCTGGAGGCTGGGTTGTTCCAGAGTCGCCTTTCGGAGCAGAGGAGGGTTGTAAGGAGTCTCTGCGTTGACCCTGAAGTTCCAGGCCCTCTGGAAACATGTTGGACTCTAACTTCTAGGTTCTTTCTATCTCTGAGGTTGGGCTACATTGTCAAGGGTGGTTTTAGGATTCAGGAGGAACCCAGCTTTTACTACCAGATGACAAAATATCCTTTATCACTTCCTCAACCTTTTATCATACGTACTTTTTATCCTGGGACAAATGGTTCAGGGCAGGGACAGGGAAATCTGTGGGCCAATCTGGACCACCTATTTCATATCCTTAAGAATGGTTTTTAGTTTTTCCAGTGGCTGAAAATAATCAAAAGGAAAAGACAGGTCTGTGACATCCCCGGAAATTCAGACTTCAGTGTGCCGAGGAAGGCCGCATGGGCACACAGCCACACTGGCTGCTTTTGTGTCTCAGCAGCAGACCTGAGCAGCTGCAACACAGACCCGATGGCCCACCAAACCTAAAGGATTTGCAGTCTAAGTTCCTCACAACTCCTGCTTACAACCATGGTTTAGAATTAGTAAGGCCAAGGGCAGGGGATATAGCTCAGCGGCACAAGCGCCTGCCTGGCAAGTGCAAGGTCCTGAGTTCGATTTCTGATACTCTCTCCAAAAAAAAACAAAACAAAACAAAAAAAAAGAATTAGTAAGGCCAGGCTGTAAGTCCCCGTACTACCAGTGTGCAGGGGCTTGTCCTGCTATTTCACGTCCAAACTGTTTCCCATATGCCCAGCACAGACAAAGATTCAGATAAAAGCTTTATAAGCTACTGGCGAGCCTTAAGTGAATCAACACATATAAAAATACCTTCATATGATGTTTAGAGCACGTGAATTACTAGAACAAAATCAAGATCAGGGAGCTTTGTCCGGGATATTTACCAGCTGATTGCAGCTACTGAAAGCAGGACCTGTCATAGAGTCGATGATCACTAACTAGCGCTGAATGCACGAACACAACCCGCTTTTCTGTTAGGAACAACTGGGTCAAGGTTCAGTCTGAAGAGGCTCTGTCAGCCTCTCAGCAGCGAGTGGGGTACCTCGGCCTCCAGCCCCTCACTGGAAGGGAGGAAAGGAGGAAACAGATAGTAACTCGGTCACGAGAGTGAATAGGACACACTCGACACAATCATCAGGCTAGTAACTCTGCCCGGGTGTGTACAACCAGCTTTCTCAGCTGGAAACGAGGGTTTAAAAAAAGCATTTACTATTTTCGATAGTATCTGTCTGTTTTTTCTTTTTTTTTTTCCTTCGGTACCGGGAATCGAACTCACGACCTCACGCTTGCCAGGCAGGCGCTGTGCCGCTGGCTAAATCCCCAGCTCTCATTCGCTATTTTCAGCCCATGTCATTGTGGCTTTCATAAAACTCAAACAGAGCGCTGAGACTGCATCAGAGACTAGTAACCGAAGAATCAAAAGAACAAAACAAAAAACTATGGACCCATAATGTAATCATCTAAACATATGCACGACAACATGCTGTGTATGGGGCATGGATTTCAGTGGGACAGCACAACTTCGTAGGCCGTGTTTCCCGTGAAGACACGAAGATGCCACTCAGCACATGCTGGCGGAACTTACAGCTGAGTGGCATGGTGGCAGCCCCGGCACGCATCTCGTCGAGCTCCCCCTTGTACCCTAAAGAGGAAACAGAGACACATAGGAAGTGCTTCATGACCAATGAAGGATTCTTGAGCAACGGGAAGAAATTTTTAAAAACCGCTTTGAATAAAATGAAGCCGGCAAACCTACTCTTTACCACAACTGACGCGTAGGCTGAAAGCTCTCCTTTGACGTTCATCGCCGAGGCCCGGTACTGAGCTGTGTCTTCAAAATCGCACCTGAAAGGACACGCGGAAATGGGTGGCTATCGTGGCTGACAGTCCTTCAGGTCACTGGCCATCCTATCGGGAACACTGCTAGCACAGCACACTGCACGCTAGTGGGTGATATAGCGGTGGGATGTCATACGGTACTGCGGATGCACTGCGGTTGCACACAGCAGTGCAGCAGGAGGAGGACATCTGTCACCGACTCTGACCCGAGCGTAGGTTCATTTGAGTTTCCAAGTAAACAAAAACCAGAACCAGCAAAGTGCTGGGCACAGAAATTACAGCATGAGCCATGCTATGAAAGGCTGGTCTGAAGCTGTACCAGGAGGAGGAGATGTCCAGCCAGGTACCTTCGTAACAGCCACCAGGAGGCATACTGGAGGGTGTGGCCTCCTGGCTGTCCTGCCTTCTGGAGAGGATTTCAGCACGGGGACACAGGCAAGAGAAAAAGGCAGCCCCTTCCTGAGGATTCCCACAGCCCTCATGAGCTGGGTTGGTTTAATGAATGGTTCTGAGCTCTGGTTTCAAAACAGAAGTGAGTTATTCACACTTCAGCTCTACTCATGCCAGGCTGCACTTGGGGTTTCTGCCCAAAGCATAACCCAAGGCCAACTTCCTCAGAAAGATGTAGTCCAGAAACTGCAGTGTCTCGTGCAGCGGAGCTAGGGAGGGAATGATCTCACAGAGAGATGAAGAGGCTAAGATTTCAAAGCATCGCGCCAGTTCTCCGTGTTCTTTGCTGTCTCTAGGGTTCTGGTTTCATTTGTGTAAATTTGCTTCTTCCTAACTTTTTAAAGACACTCAAGAGCCCCAGAAAGGCCACTGCAGTTGCCTTTTTCATATTTAATTTTGGAAGCAGCCACACGCTCGTGGCTGTCCTGGAAGAACACTCACTTGCCGAAGCCATGAGACTTTAGATCAGTGCCGGCGCTTGGGGAACATCCCCGGGCCCCGAGGCTCTGGGGGAGGGAAGCCCCGTGTCCCCCAGGCGTGAGAATGGGATGGTATGTCGGCACACTGTGCTTCCATCTGAACTGAATGTGGTGGGAGCTTGCTTACTGTTTTCATCACATAACCAGGTTTGGATTTCAAACCTGTCTTGGGAGACAAGACAAAGCTTTGAGGGCTTGGGGTTTTTGGTTTCTTTTTTTGAGACAAGGTCTCACTATGCAGTTCAGGCTGTTCTTGAGCTCACTATTTAGCTCAGGCTTGCCTCCGACTCACAGCAATCCTCCTGCCTCAGCCTCCAAACTGCTGGGATTATAGGTGTGCATCACGATGCCAGGATTTGTGCTTGGAAATTTTAATGTGACTTCTCTTCTCAAATATTGCTTTGGAATTTGCTTTACCCTAAAATATTCTAATGTCTGTGCCTGCCTCTAATACACAGACAGACAAGATTCCCCTGTTCCAGGTGAGATGCAGAAAAGAACACACTGTCTCCGAGGTCAGCCTACACCAATGCCATCTGACTTGTCTCGGCAGCCTTTGTCGATTAAAAGCAAGAGGATGCAGTGACGAAGCTGATCTGCAACTATGAAAGAGCAACTGAATAGGAATGCCTACTTCTGACTTATTTTCTTACTAACGTCTGAGAAAAGCTCTCAAATATTAAAGGGATGAATACAAAAGATAAAAATTAATTCTAAATTCCCATGTCCAACTGCCTTGGCAGGTGGCGTGGGCACGGTGAGGATTAGTCATGAAGGGCTCCTTACAGGTACGCACGCACCAAGAGGGGAAAAGTACCCGGCTGTCCCCCACCCCATGGTGACCAGGGGCATGGCTGCTGCTGAGCGATTGCTGGGCAACACACACAAACACCGACGTCCTCTTACGCGTTGATTTCCAGAGTGTGAATTCCATATCGACTTTCGATAATATACTTTCCAGGGTTGGCATGGACGTTTATTGGTACCTGGTTTTTGTACCTGTAAGACAATGGAAACCAAATGAAGTAGGCTGAAGCATACACAACTTCATGATTAAACACACACTCAAAAACGCCTGTCCTTGCATGACACCTTCCGGAAGTGGACTCTGAGGGCAGTGGCAGCATCTAGCCAATAAATGTACATTATATTAGTGTAAACTAAATGCACTCACAGACAATAAAACTCCTTGCTGAAGTGCTTTTCCATCTTCCATAAAATTTACATGAAAAACATGGACTATTCACAAAAATATAATGAACCCCATGCACATGTTTGTGAAAAAAGCTAGTTATTAAAATCTACATCGTATAATGCTTGCTTTTACTTAAAGTACATAAACAAAAAGATGAGCTAATGTTGCTGAAAGTCAGGATCTGATGTCCTGGGGTGGGGCAGGCACCTGAAGCAGGTGTCTTGCGTGTCCCTGAGATTTGGTTTCTTGATTTGGGTGCTGGTGATGCAAATGTGTTCCATCCACACAAATTGACCGGGGTACTATATCTCCGCTAACACGCACTGCTGGTGTCTGTGTTATACTTCTGTCGGGAAGCTTAGGCGTTGACATAACAAAGAACAAGACTTTCTGTTGGGGGCTTTACAGCTGGCCGTCTTTGTAGGAGGAAAGTAAATATTCTTGCTGCTAACATTCTTGCATGTTGTTAAAATCAGTGCCACTGTATTGAAGGAGCAGTAGATTTAAGTGACTCATTCTTTTTTTTTTTTTTTTGCAGTGGATAATGTTTACATCCCTTATGTGGCTGGTGCACGAATAAACCTCTTTTCTGTATAGATAGTCAGCTATGGGTGTCTGGATACAGCAGTGGAAAATAATATACATCCTAAAGCACAGCACTCGTTTTCCTCTTTTTTTTTAATGCGTTACTCCCCCCCACCTAGCAAAACCCACCCCACCTTTGAAGATTCAGGCCCAATACCACTTCTTCAAAGGACTCCTCCTTCAAAGCCAGCCAGTGTGAGTGGGTCCCATCTCCGAGGCAGTGATTGGTTCAAACTGATAAAGATAACACTTGTCCAAGGACAGCAGGGCCCGCGCCACTCTTACTGAGCTGCGAGTCCCTCCAAGGCGGGGATGGTGTCTGACCGGGCCTGTATCCAAGCCCACACTTGGGAGGGATGAGTCAGTATCAGGCACACAGTGCCTACATCAAATGGGACAGAATTGTTGTGTAATGTGACAGAAGAGGTAAATTGCAAAATGCTGTTTTGTAGCTTCATTTTTTTTTTTTGTCTGAAACAGAGTTCAGACAAATATATACTTTGTGATATGCACACTTACAGTGAGTACGGGGAAGGAAGTAAGTTGAGGCTTTCTGGGCCTTGCTTCCCTTGCTATGAAGGGAAGGGTGCTGGCCCAGCTCAAGAATCACAGCTGTGCTGCGGGTGCGTCTGCGGGACCCCCCCCCCCCACGTACACACACACACACACACATCTTTGGTTGATACCACACTGCTTCATGCCAGCCCAGAAACGGCTTCCACTCAACTCTGTAAGCATTCGGACGACTCCGTCAGACGCACTGTGGGCTCCTCCCAACCTCCCACGTGCCCACCGTGAGCACGGCAGGGGTGAGCGCCCCTTGACATGCTCTGCGCACTGGTTTAAGTCACTGTGGACCCGCGGCTCACAGGTTGGCGGGCTTCCTGTAGCTCCTCTGGGCACTGGGATCACGTGGCACTGGTGTTGTGCCACGTGCTGCCCGACAAACGACTGACACTTGGGTTGGTGTCTGCTCGGCGATGCTGTCCACACCCCTATAAAGTCTGAGATGAAACGGTATCCGCAGCTCCCGCGGTTGCATCACCCTCCCTGCCGCCCGGGACTCCTCGCCTTAGCACCTTCGTGCCTCCCCCGCTGAGCACCCGCAGGTCTTCCCCTCCGACCGCCTGGCAGAGGAGCTCGGTTTAAAACACACACAACACTTTGAGCACAGAGCTTCTTGTCTTTCCGCGGGGCTGCTAGATGTTAGGGGGGCAAACGCTTGTTTAAAGGAATAGGAAAGGATTAAATCAGAAAGCAGTTTCATTCTACTGCGAGGAATCTCCCTGTCAAGGCTTCCGGTGTGAGGTCACTTGAGATCCGTGTCTTCAGCATCCAGTGAGAAAAGAAAAGGATTTTTGGCCTGCTCTCTATACATTTCACAGCTTGTTATTTCGGGAAAGTGAAATTCCAAACTGGCCTGTCATCGGCTCATTTTGGAGGGTAATAATCTACACCCCGGGGCTGTCAAAGCGTTTCAAAAGCCTTGGGAATACTCAGATGGCCATTTTTTCACTTACTATTTTCAGGTAGCCTATGAACGTGCTGGCACTGGGTGATTCCTTTTTCATTCCCGTGTGTAAAACACACACTTGCATTTACTGTGTAAAACACGTACACTCCTTTCGTACAAAAGTCGTTTTAGCTTTTGGGCTGACTTTGGTATGAGGGCCTAGAAGGGAAGCTCTTCGGCAGTGTCAGAGATGGTCAGGCAAAAAGGCTTCATGATTTTTTTAATCAACAAATAATGTACATCAAAATGATCTGTAACATGTTGAATCTCATGGAATTGCTGCTTAGAACTCAATCTTAAGCTATGAATAAATAGCTACTATCCTCTTTGAAAACCAGTTATCTGAGAGAGAGGTCTATCCCATTAAGATAAATTTGGGAACTCAGTAAATAAGAAAAATCTAAAATAAACCTCCAAACCCTTATTTTGGGATAGTATAATAACTTGTAAATAACGTGCTAATTTTTTTTTTTTTTTTTTTTGAGACAGGGTCTCACTATGTAGTTCAGGCTGACCTTAAACTCACTATGTGGCCCAGGCTGGCCTTGAACTTGCCGCAATTCTCCGGCTTCACCCTCCTGAGTGCTGGGAATCAGGGTGTACCACCACGCCCAGCTGTTAACTATCTCAAATGTAGGCTATTTTCTTACAATATTATAGTAATAATTGTTAAATATAAATATATGGCAAACTCATAAAAACTCAATACAGTGATTCGAAGACAGAATATATAAATTCTCATAGTTTGCAAGAATGAAGAGTTTTACAAATCTCCAGGTTCTTCCTAAAACACATCTTTCATATTATTTTACTCCCAGGTTTTAAAATATTTATACTTTTTAATGACAAATTTCTTCAAGTGCATACTGGTCGATAACTCTCAGGCCAAAGTGAGGCATTCCGATCACATACTGTGAATGTCGTTTGCGGGTTTAGGTCAGGATCAGCAGACAGCTCCGACACCCGGCTGTGGGCGAGTGTCAAAGGGCTCTTCCTACTTGCAGGCGCTCCATGACTTCTCTCACAGCTCCCCACGGCCACAGTCAGGATTCCCACTCACAACTGTGACCCAGGCTTTGGGGCAGAAGTCCAGTTCAACCTGGCTCTTTTTAAAAGGGCAAAATCAAACAATTCTCGCCTTCTCTTAAAGAGAACGTTTTCTTCTCCTCTGCTTCATATGATTTTGAAAGTTTGATGAGATGATGCTCCTTTAAGCTCCAAAGCCAAAAAGCAAAGGATGGGCCTTTGTCCTCCTCTCGGTTCTTCTTTCCAAGTCTGCTGCTTCCCCTGGGCTCTTACACATCCTTCCGGAATTCCATTGTGCAAAGAAATTATATTTCCTCTCCTTTTAAGCTAGTGAGTTATTATCAAGTTACCACATAAAAAAGCCCAGGGACTGTATATTTTCCACGACACAGTATTTTTCCTCCTGTGCTGACGAAGCCCCTGGGGACAGCTTCTCCCTGCCCAGCATGCTGGAGTTCCGAGTGACTGGGAACAGAAAGGTGCGGAGCCACGGTCTCTGCACAAGGCCTTGAGGGGTGCAGTGCTCCCTGGCCAGCCTCTGGGCTCCCCTTAAATGGATGTGGTCATTCCCGTGGGACTGGTGGGAGAGCACCTGCTGCATGTTCATGCTGGTTGCTGGACCTCAGGGATCCCACGGCAGTAGCCAGTGGAAGCCTGGAGCCAAACGCTCCCCAGAAATGCTGGGGGATCCAGGCCTTTGGAAGGTGAGGTGCAAGAGGAGACCTGACTGCGTGGAAGCTGCCATCACGGGAAGCACCATCGCAAACTATTCCTTCACGCTATACTTGAGCCCTGCGCTCCGGAAGGGCGGTCCCAGGATTTCTTTCATCCTTGGACTCAGCGGGCACCAAAAAGGCCTAAGTGCCCTCAAAGTGACTGCCAGCTGCCGAGCTTTTGGCGTGGGTGGTGGGAAGGCCGCTCACCAGCAGGCAGACTCTGTACCAGTGTTGTAAAGAGAACCACAACTCTGAAGAACGGCTGTTGGACAAAAGGCACCGTGCCCAGCAAGGGGTGCTAACCCTGCACAGAAGCCTCCTCCTAGATAGAGGTGGATCTACCTGGCAGGGAGTGAGGCTGGAGTTTCAGGCTCCCTGCCCAGCACCGGGCTTGCGGGGCCTTGGGCCTGACTTGTACTGCTAAGCTTGGATTCCCTTTTGTGAAGAGAACCCTTCAAATCACATAAGCTTCCTGCCCTAGGAACCTGGAACTGACACCGTAAATTGCCATAGCCAACTGTCAGTTATCCGCAAGTGACTGTCAAAATTTCAGTTTACCCCGGGGCAAATCCTGCTCTCAGAAGCAGATCTACTAGTTCTTAGCTGTCCCGGCTTCTAAAGCTCCAGGCAAGGCTTTCTGGGTAATGCTGCCTCTGGGAGAACCTCACTGAGGCTGGCGGAGGGGCTGCCTGCCTGCGGTGACGCCCTCTCCACTGTCTCCCTCCACGGCTGAGAACGCAGGCTGGCTGGGGGCAGTGCAGTCACCTCTCCAAGTGCTGACAGCGTGCGTGGCCTAGGAGAGGCCCCTCCAGAAAATGAAGGGCCTTCCAAGCCTTCGTGGGACAAAGCAAAATAAGTATTTCAAAGCCACACACAAAAGATGTAGGGGCCCACTGTAGCGCTTCAGCTCTGTTAAAGAGGATGAAAATGGACAATATTTCTATTTTTGAACTTAACTGGAATT